CAAATCCATCTATTCAACTAGTTCCTAGCTTAAAAAGTTACTTCCAGCATTAAAGACTAGATCTGTCTCAGATCTAAGTATTCAACTGGGGATTACAGGAACTAGCTCGATCAGCGAAACCAAAAACGGCTTTGAGTCTATATTATTCTGGCAGAATGATTTACTAAGAGCAAAAACTAATTCTTACCGTAAGTGAAGTCTTAAGTTGCCCAAGTTGAGTTACTGAGCTAAATTTCCCACTCGTTAGCCTTAGTATCCCCATTATACATTTTAGGCAAAGGTACAGAAAAAAGTTTGAGCCTTAAATCATTTATTCAGACATACAGTAAATGTCAATACTGCAAAGTGCAAACTGAAGAGAAAGTAGACCATAGACGTCTATAAACAAGTCTTTATTGGGCAGGAGCAGCCAGTTCATACAAGGACGCCGTATTGTTTGAGAACATCTGTGTATTTAGCGATCTTACTCGCCACATTTTTCTCCGCCAGCCTGGTCAGCTTGGTCACCGTCTTGGTCTTTGTGTAGCGGATCTTTGCCTTCTCCTTTCTTTTCTCTTCCAAAGTGGCTGTAATTGCCTGGTACTTCCAGCCAACCTCATGTGCCAGACGGCCCAAGAGCGCAAACTGAGGAGAGGGAAAGATCTTTAATACAAGTCCATCTAACAATCATGCTACAAGAGAAGGTGCACCTCCTCCAACTCAGTAGTCAGATCCGTAAAGGTTGTATCATCAGAAATGATCAGTTTCGGGATAAAGTGCTCATCACAGTGAAGGGCTACAGGCTTCAACTTCCACCCCATGAACTATGCTTACAAACTCACCTTACGAGTAGGCTTTAAACGCACGATTTTCAGGGCTGCAGGAACAACCATTCGCTTCCTCTGCAAAAACAAAACTCATTAGTCCAGGATCATGACTAAGCATTTGAACTACTTAAAATGCTTGTCTCAGCTCTGATTCATTTCATTAAGTTCAAACAAGGTAGATAGGTAGAGTTTAGACATCACTGACAAGGCATAGAATAATGTTTTTTTGCACTTAGTCTCACACCTTATCGTATGGTGGGGGGATACCATCGAACACCTTAAGCCTGTCCAGAGCAGCCTGGCCCCTCTTAGTTTTGTGGGGAAGCATACCTTTAGAGAAGAAAGGAGTTTTAACCAAAGGCAACAGAAAGCCAAATACACAGAAAACCTAGTTCTGGACTCATCTCAGTAGTCAGATCCGTAAAGGTTGTATCATCAGAAATGATCAGTTTCGGGATAAAGGGCTCATCACTGAGTAAGGACTTCGACAAACTATTCAATGTAATAGTTTTAAATGCCACAGACCTCTGACAGTCCTCCAGAAGATGCGGCTTGGTGCTCTGAAGTGGTACGGTCCACGGGAGGGATTGGTGTTCATCCTTTTCCGCAAGAAAGCAAGGTACTTCACTGTAAAGAAGTGCATTAATCAACCTATGCACAGTCATAGGATCGCAGACATTTCTGTGCATCTAGTCTCAGATGGTAGTGCATGTAAAATCTCCTCATGGTCAGTTAAACTCAAAACTTAACAGTGAGTAACATCACAGACTAGTTTAAAACACTGTAAGTGCGCAAGTCCTACTTACGTTTGTTGCGATAAAAGTTTCCAGAGATGTTAATGCCTTCACATCTCACCACCACTACCTTCTGTCCTGGAAAAATATTCAAAACTTAGAACCCAAATAGGTCAATGGAGAAATGTTAGTTCTAGGGTGTTGTCTCAGGTGAAAATCAATTTCGCATTGTCGTTAAACTCAAAAATTAAAACAAAGACATCACTGACCGTTTTAAGTTTATAAGAGCAAGTCATGTTATACATACCCAGGAGGACCTGTTTGGCCACGATGGCAGCAAGCCGCCCGAGCAGATGGCCTCTGCCATCTAGCAGCAGAACCTGAAAATTAACCACAATAAGTTATCCAAATTCAATTGAAAAAATACGTTATTTTTAAACATCTAGAAATCACACCAGGCCGAAAGCCACATGGGTCACCACTTAGCATCGGAGCTAGCCACTGCCTATCTTTAGTGCATGCAACGAGTATTTCGATACATCCTTAAAGTAGTGATATACAAACTTAATAAAGTTCATCTGGCTTTCAAGAGTGGATGAAACGAACAAATTACAATATCACATTGAACAGCTAGCGCTAAGCACTAAAGAAAGCTGCCATGTTGGCTGCATGTTCCCGGACTTCAAAAGATAAACCACCAACTAAATAACACAGCGCTTGGATTCCAACTCAAAATGAAAGGTTAAACTCTATCTGGAAGCTTGTTCGATCGTGAGGGCCATTATTGGGCCAGAATAATGAAGATAATGGTGAAATAGTGAGAGCGCGTGCACACACCTTATTGAAGCGGTCCGCCATGACGAGCCGAAAGACTGAAGCACGGGGCCGCCCGCCCCTAAGAGCAGGGACAGCCGGAAGTGACGACGGCACTTCTGCCTCGTGGCTTTAAGTGGTGCTCAAGATGGAGCTGCTGCCCCCGAGTGGGACAAGCGCTAACATAACGACACATTTTGGAATTATTTGTATGTGACAATTTCTGTGTCTATTCACTGCAGTTACTTATGTAAACCAGTAGTCAGACATGTTTACAGCCTAAAAAGAAGCTGAATACAATTTAGTCATGATCAATGGTTTTGTCTAACAGTTCTTTCTTTTTTCTTGAACACATTTTGCAAAATTTCGCTCATTCTCCCAAAACTCTACACACAAGAGAACCTGAGACAACACTGGGATATAAACCATTCACATCTGTCTCAAAATTAAACTTCTCTATCAAACCTCAAACTCTGCTCTCAAAACTAAACAATAATTTGTCAAAACGATACACTCTTGCATCATGTGAACACACTTTCAGATTGGAAGCAACACACTACAATTCTTTGTACAAAACACTGCAGTCATTTTCACTGGTTTTTTTCTGTTTATCAGTTAGTTTTCTGTGAAGCTCAATGGAACTGTTTTTGTTCTCAACAAAGGTTTACCAACAACCATGAAATACTGAAAAGTTACAAATAATATCAACTCAATACTGTAGATCACAGTACTAAAGTATACTTTACAGCATTTGTGTCAATGCAGTAAATAAAAACCTCTAATGTAAAACTAGGCAATTGTGCGGGTGTGGAATATGCATCATGATTCCTGCTCGGACTGTTTCCACAAAGGCAAGTTCCTGCTGTTGGTGAACGGCTGTGGAGCACCTTCAGAAGGACTTCTAGTCATTCTGTATAAATATGCAACCCCAAATTGTTACTGTAGGTTTAGATCTTTTTTACTGTACTGTATACTGTACACAGTACTGTGACATCTCACAGACTATGTACTTTACTGTATTGTATGTTTCACAGAACTACCATTTTTCAAAAGGAGCAATGGCCAACTTGCAATACTTTATATGTGATACGGTAAAGTATTGTAAGTACTGTAAATGTTGAAGACACGTTTCCATCTGAAGGTCCTGATGATGGAGGTGTGGCTGGACTCTCTGCTTCCCTCAGTGTGAGGCCATGGTTTATCACATGATCCACAAAAGATGCTCTAATGTCATCAGAAATATCTTCAACCACCTCCTCCTCTCTCCTTGTCTTCCTCTTCCTCTACCTCTACCTCCTGCTCTGCCTTGACACTTGCAAAGTTCTGAAAATGGCTAAACTGAGGCCATGTTCTTCCCCTTTATTAATCCATTTCTGGGTCGGGGGGCTGGCAATCAGAGCTGCCACCCAATTCTCAAAGCGCCAGTCCCTCACCGATCCTCTTGGTGGTGGGTCCAGAGTATGATGGCTTCTCAATCATCAAAGACAAGGCCTCGGTCTTTCGGCGAGGGGCTTCAGGTAAAGTGGGGGACATCAGAAGGAGCAGAAATGTCATAAAGACACTGCTACCTATGGGAATAGCATAGCCAATTATTGGGACGCTTTTGGCTGCAGGTCTTATGTGTTCTGGGTGAATGGTTTAGAACAAGTGTCTCCAACCTTTTTCAACTGGAGAGCTATATTCTCGGGACAATAAAGGCAGCTAGCTACTCCTTTAAGCGGCCTTGGGAAAAATGTGATATTAGTGTGAACGTGTTTGATATCGATTACATTTGTTATTTATCATAACATATTTGTTACTAGTGACAGAGTAAGTGCATTTACAATAATAGATAATGATAATACAATCTGAAATATTAAGTATATAATTTGATTTGTCGGGTTCTAAATCCTCTGGCAAGCTACCTGGAAGGGGGTGGAGAGCTACTGGCGGCTCCCGAGCTACAGGTTGGGAGACCCCTGGTTTAGGAAGACTGTACCACTCAGTCTTAGACTGTTTACTCGGAAATAGGATAAAATAATATCAATCGAGGAATTCTCCATCATGGTTAGGGTGACAGAAGCAGAGTTATTGACAAAGATTGGAAAACACCAAACATAATGGGCAAATAGGATTTCAAAAATGGCTGGCTAAAGAATAGGAGCAAGAATTAAATCAGTCATTCCAGTCAACAGGCTGACACATTTTATGATTCCAACCGCTTTACTCAATTCCAACGATTTTTATAACTTTTTCCGTTTTCTTGTGTAATGGTCCCCAGCCATGTTTCAAAATATGCCTTGAGTGTAAATTGTGCTGTAGAATATCCCAGGACACCAACAGCTGACTGAATGACTTTTACTGCAGCCCACTGACACATTGTTAGTAAAGCTATTGTTAGTTTTCCACAGCAAAACAAAACATATGCATGACAACCACTTATTCTGTGAATCCTCAGTCTCATCTATACACAAATGAAACTCCTTTCTAGTACTTTTCTCACTTTATTTACAGAACACAGTATTTTAAAACAGACAATCACATTACATTCAAGATATTTAAGCTTGGCATTCAATATGTGAAGCAATATTAATAGAATTACATTCACTTTATCTCCCTGTACATGCATTTGGACTGCCTCCATTTGGTTAAATCAGAAAAGGAGCACTTAGTCGTCATGTTTAAGCTTTCTGATTTTTCCCTTGTGGCGGTCGATCTCTCGCTGCAGGCGTTCTACTTCCTTTTTGTGGTGGTCTATTTCCTCCTGGTGATGCTGCTTCAGGGCATCTAGTTGTTCCTTTTCTTTGCGTCTAAAAAGAACAATCATTAGATTAGAATGGCAGTGCTTGCTGGACTGTTAAGCACACCTGAATATAAAATTCACCAGCCAGAATTTTTAAAGTAGAAATACATTGTCCACATTTGAATATAACCAACAGCTGATGGTGCAAAACTTTATACTTCTGTCATTGTATAATATCTCACCTCTGGACACTTTATTAGATTTTTGTATACATGCTTTTATTATCCATTTTTGTATCCAATTTAATTCCATTTTTGTCTATCTAGTGTGGCCTCTTTATATATTTAAAATTATGTGTGCACTGTGCAGGTAGCCAAATAAATAAGTTCCAGGAAGCACCTAAGGAGACATTGAAAGAATACAAACATATCCCCCTTTCATCCTTCTGCCCTTTCTTTAGCTTTTAAAAATTGACTTCTACAGAAACAGAGCAGCCGCAAGTTTAGTCAAATGAAATCTAATGCCTAAATACTCGTAAGGCCAAATTTATAGCCACCAATCCATAAACAGGAAAAGGAAGAAAGCGGCATGGTTTCAAAGAAATAAACAATTGCAATGTGTAGACTAGATGTTTTAGATTTGAGAGAAAAATCTAAAAGTAAAGTTCTCAATAAAAAGGAAAAAAATCCAAGTGTTAACATGGACTGGACTGTCACTAGCAGATAAATCATAAAAATGCACTGAAATCATTAATATATAAGTTTTATATTGCACTTTTTTTAGACAAGGCAACCAGTATGTGGCCTCAGCCCCTCCCCACCCTGTCACGCCCACATCTGACTCTGGCAATGTGGGTGAAGAGTCTTGCCTAAGGACACGCCCCACTGTTGCACCTGGTGTTCCCAGACGACTCCCACCACAGCACTAACCAGGTCCTGCCTTGCTTAGCATCAGAGGTCCCACAGGAATTGGCTGTTACATGCAGGTGGCACCAAACTACTTAAATCAAGATCTTATTGGTTTATGTATTAGCACTAGCAGTAATCCTTGTTCATCTCTGACATGCAACAAGATAAGTTGATGTTTGAAGAAAAATAATGTCAGCGAAATAATAGCGTTTTTTGAAATCTGCCACCAAACTTGTGATTGAAGTGTGAATGTTGCAACGTATCCATATTGCAAAAAGGCTGTAAAAAGGCACCCACTTGAAGTACATCTCCTCCTCAGCAGCCTGCTTCTTGCCCATAGCTCCACCTGCCTCTCTGATAGACCCTCCACCCCCTCCGCCTTTGCCAGCACCTTTGCCCAACTCTCCAAGCTGCAATGGAGAAAATGAGACAGGGTTAGGATTATATTACAAAGTTTTACATTCTCACATAGGACATGCAAACCAAGGGCACTGCATCAGTAATCCAGTTTCAATACAATAATAGCAAAACAAATCTACTCACATTAGTATATGTATGCGTTTGAGTATTATCCCAGTCTATTAATTTAGATAAAACTTTAGTGATCCACCAGGGAAACGGCTTAGGACACAATAGTTCAATCAAAAAACAAAATACCGCAGCTGAATTATCCGCTCACTCACATTGACTTCACATTATATTACCAAAGGGTCAATAATATACTTAATATAGTGAGAAACCGGCAAAGGCATCTCCTCAACTGGTTCTAATAAAATCATTTCATATAATCATTGAGATACACAAACTTTGAACGTGTCCTCTGCATGGATCTATAATAATTACGGTCATCTGACGCAAAATGGCAACTTGTTTTTCCACCAAAATTAAGCTAGGTCTTTCCCAATGCCCACATCTTTAAAATACAGACTGGAGTTACCTGATCAGACAATCTCAGCTGGGAAGTGACAAAGTTCCTGACATTTGGTCTGAAAAACCTTGCCATCGTGTGAGCAGAGAAGACCATGTGCAGACTGAGTGGACAGCAACAGAGTGGTAATGGTGCATGTGCTGGTGAAGTTTGTCCTTGCGGGTGCTAAATATACTGGACCAAACCATTTTAGCGGCGGCGGCGGGGGGAGGGGGGCAACCAGGAAGTTAAAGTGCGTATGAGACTAAAAACTATTTACACAAAACACATGATATTTTACAGATTTAGATTAATATTTTAGACATTTCATCCAGTTTTTTGTCGTTAAGTTAACGTATCACTTATCTTGTGCTGTGAGATCCTCATTCCTACTGTTCTGTAACCCACATAGACTGTATATAGTTAATATATACAGTCTATGATAGTAACCCATGAAACACCGTGGGGCGAATAAAAGATCTCAACGTTAATCTTATATATCAACAATCGATATTGCGTTACCTTATTTGACCAATTGAAATATGTGTTAAAATGAACAAAAACGATAAAACGAATGCAGCAGTTCGAATCAAATTGGCATGTTTCCATACTAGAAACCTGGTTTGAAAAATATATACAAATATGAAGAGTTATGCATTCTTGAAATGTCAAAGTTGTCATCCTCTTGTCATAATCTTCAACATGTTTTTTGTTGGCAGTAAATTTGAAAGGATTGGCACAATAAGGGGTGAAAATGTATTTGTATAGGGCTAAATTAGATGTAGATTGTCAAAAATATACTTGGTAAGGTTCTTTGTGAAGAAGTATATACCCTGGTTTGCATTACACATTATATTATTAATGTAATAGAAATATTATAAACAAATCTTTTCAAACTTTGAATTTTAAGCCCAATCAAAAAAAAACCACAAGAGGTCTGTAAGCCAAACAGACAGTATTCCATCATAATTATAACAAAAGGTTTGGCATGTCACTTTCAATCTATTGTTTTCACATTTAGCTGAAAACAAAAACAACAAATACAACTCTTGATTTTGAACGTAATTGTAATTTTTCAAGTTTCACCTGTGTATATTGACCAAATAATATATAAGTTACACTTAAAATTAAAATAGTTAGCCCAGTCTTATACCGTTGTACTCATTTCATCTCATACATGTAGGGAAATGAGAATTGACCGGAGTTTACAGATGGCTAAGGCCAGTCTAAAAATATAGTGGGATGTAAGAAGTTTTCAGGGATTCTGACATTCTCATATTGATAATCAGTTTATTAGGGCAAAAAGTCTCCTTATAATTAAAGCAAACAACATACAACTCAAATCCTTTAAAACGACTCCATAGCAACATTTATACAAGTAACTGGGCCCTTTTAAAGCACATAAAAACAGCTTCCAGTCGAAAAGGAAACATTTGAAAGTATAAAACAATGCCGATTTTAGAGGCACTTTCACGTTTTAGAAAGTGAGAATTATGAAAAATGTGTCAACTTGAAGGCAACAAAGAGTGCTAATTAAGGACAATAATTTCAGAAAAGGATTGGACAGAACTAAAAATATCCTTCATCAGTTGTACTTATATAGACATGGACCAGTTTGTTTGAAAGTAAAAGACCACAGTGCGTGTGGAGCTGAAAGAAACAATGAATGAAAAATGGAGGTAAAGGCGGTGCGTCAGACGTTGAGTGGTCTGCGGAGGCCTTTTGGAGGAGGCAGCCATCGCCGCTCTCCGCTGTCGACACTTCAGTCCTGTTTGACACTGCCCAAAGCTCGGAGTCGCTCCAGGAGAGGTGGGTGAGAGTAGTGCCACATGGAGTATAACCAGTCCGCCACGGGGAAGCCCAGGTTGTCCTTGTTCAGCTTGATGAGAGCCGAGTAGAGCTCAGTGGTTTTACCCATGTTCCGGGCAAAAGCGTCGGCCTGGAACTCGAATCGACGGCTCAGCACGGTCAAGCAGAAGGACAGGAGCTGCGTAGATATGTCAGTCAGATAGATGCGGGCAATAAAAAAGACATCAAAAATTCAAAACCTTAACTATAAGATTTGTATAGCCCTAAATCGCAACAGTAGTCGTCTTGGGAGGACTTTACAAAGTTGTTAATTCACCAGAGAACAGAGATCAGATCATCATAACAGTTCAAACACAGAAAAGGCAAGAATAAATGGTCTGTTGGGAGCAGGTTGACCAATGTCCATAAATGTGCTTCATCTGTAAATAGTAAGTAAGTTTTTATTCATATACCGCCTTTCAGATACCAGAGTAACAAAGTGCTTTAAATTGTTGTGGGCATCTGTCTCTCACTAAACACAGAGATGGGAGCGGGGTCGCCTGTACAGGAAGCACATGCCAGAACTATTGTACATATTTTTAGTGGTAGGGGAAACCAGAGCACCCGGAGGAAACCTACGCAGACGCAGGGAGAACATGCAAACTCCACTCAGACAGCAATCAAAGACACATAGCAGCTACTCATATCGTATATTTTGTGTGCTTCCTGAGTGCATGTATGTGGGCTGCAACATTTAAATTTCCCCACTGTGGGATGACTAAAGGTTCTCTTATCTATGTCTTGGATCATCTCACTCCTTAAACCCTCCTGTATCGACAAGGGACGACTCAATAAAACCCTTACCTCGTTGTACGGAGAAAAGATGAACTGGAAGATAATCATCAAGCCTATCAATGTGGGCTGAGAGTCAGTGAAGCCAAAAGCTACAAACAGTTCCTTTCTCCCAATCATGACCGCAAACAATGAAAAGCACAAGAAGGAATTAATCTGTTGGAGAGAAGGGAAAGCGTTGGTATTGTCCAATGCACCTCAATTGAAAAGATTCAAATTACGTTTAAGGAACACACTGACCTGACTGATAACTATATTTTTGACAGTGTGGCCCAGCTTCCAGTGACCAAGCTCATGGCCCAAAACAGCAAGGATCTCAGAGTTGTTGCAACCTTGTTTTTTGTTCTGATAAAAGAAAAAAATATAACATTCCCTGTTTTGGAGTAACATAACCTACGTTTGCATTTGATTAAAATTACCTTCGGCTTTGCTTTTGTGTCTTCTTCATTCGTTTCTGCGGGTTCAGTCTCAGATTCTTCAGATTTATTGAGGGGGGAGTAGTCTTCCAGCAACGTATCAAACAGCACAATACGTTTGTTCTTGAAAAAGCCATAGAAATAAGCGTTGCTATGGGACGACCGCTTAGAACCTACAGAGAAAGAGAGCGTGTTCTGTTAGTGGAATTCAACAGACATTCAAATTAGAATTATTTAAGATAATTTGATGGTCATTTGACTTTACCTTCAACAACATAGACCTTGGTGAGAGGGAAGCTGATACTTTTGGCCATAGATTCAATGTCATTCTTCAGCTCCCCTTCAGGTAGAGGAGTGAACTTGTCAAACAATGGAGCAATATAATCGGCATAAATGGTTACAAGGATCTGTTAAAGAGAAGGACCTCATTAGAAATGTCAAGACAAAAGAATATATCCTCCATTTATTAACAGAAACACTAACCAGGGAAACACCAAAGGTAAATAACCAGGCATAAATAAAAAAGTAGTCTCCACCAATCTTTATGATGTACAACAGAAGTGAGGTCACTGGAATCAGGATACACTGGGTAACAAAAAACTTCTTGACAGCATCCTTGAAAAAGAACGCCAACGTCTAGAAGAAACAAAACATGAGAATAAGACAATGATGCAAGAAATCAGCCGTTGAATCTAAAACAAGGGTGCTTTATTGATCTGTAAAAATAAAAGTTTTATTTATCACTTTCACATGTCATTAGTTCACTCCATACACAGCCACAATGACAAAACCGTGACAATCAGTATGTGCTATCCGCCCCTCTGACTACCACCACCAACTCTTAACGCACATACCAGACTGGTAATGTGGGTGAAGTGTGGCCTGCTGAACTTCACAGGTCTGATGGGATTCTATTGCATGCAGGTGGCGCCTCAATAATAGGCACACTTTGAAATTAGCACTAAATCCAATGGAATAGTACCTAAGCATTTCAGAATGGTGAAATTCATATTTATGTTCAACCAGGTCCAGAGAGAACTGTGGGTGGTCCTGGGCCGTAATATGCCTTAGAATTATATTATAAGGTTATGTAGTATGAGGCACTCTTTGAAAGCAAGTCCAATGGCGTTATGCAAGGCTTGATTTTAAAATGTTGTCCTCAGATGCTTATAATCCCCGGCCCAGAAAGAACAGTAGCCTTTTTACAGCGTTTTGAATGATCTCTAGTACAAGGCACCAATAGCAGTAGTACATTTCTTTTACATTTCTCCAAGATGGTTGAAATGTACCTGCTGGTTAAAGCCATGTTTCTCCTCAATGACAAATGTGCTATACAAGCTCCAGGGAAGTCCAGTAACAGCACTGAATATTGTAGCAAGAATCAGGAAAACAAGTGACTGGGTGATCTCGTACTCTGGTCCAAGTCCAAAGCGGGTGATGACAGATCCAGCCAGGGCCCACATAAAGGGGATTCCTCCCAAAAGCAGGATGAGCTGAGGAACATGACACCATGTTCAGTAATGTTATTGTATGCAATTGACAGCTTCAATAACAAGTAAAATATCAAAAGGTGGTCAACTCACCGTTCCCTCAGTCTCAGAATAGAGCCCAGACCAAAAGCCAAAGTTACTTTTATCCAGTTGGTAAAGACGAGATTTCTCAAACGTTTCAGAATCCATAATTTTCCCAAGTTCTTGTGGCACATGTGTGGTCAGTCTGTACATTTTTCTCTACAAAACGGAGTGTATCAAAGAACAAAGCATCCATACATTAAATAAGGTGTAACTTTAAGTTAGAATTGTTCATGATTATGGAAAGCAGGGCTGGGCGATATGGCAAATAAGTAAAATCTTCATTTAAAATGGAGATTTTATACATATACATATTATAAGTCTCGTACAGACTGTGCTGATATTGAAAGTATAATTCATGTGCTGCTGGAACTCTCACAATATCCTTCATTAGATTTCACGATTTTCCACAAATTCGATTTTCTCAAAAGCCGATTTATTGCCCAGCCCTGATGGAAAGGGCCCATCACTTATATTATTCTAAACCCTTGATATCCCCATGATGCAGGCTGGAGTATAACTCACCTGTCTGTAAGAAAGATATGCCTCCCATAGATACACCGTCCACGAAAACCCAAGGACAGCATAAAATATTTGCTTGTCTACCGGTAAATCATATACACTCTCCATTATTCTGTCTTGAATTGCTGCACTGCAACTTGTCAAATGTTAGCGTGTTAGGCTAGCGCTAGCGGATATAGCTTCCGTTTATCACCGCCACGAAATAGAGCTACCCACAATCAAACCGGGGAAAGTACTAAAGCATCAAATGAAATGAGGTCTCACAAACGGTGTCTGCTTAAGTTCTATAACTACCGAAAAAGACGAAAAACAAACGTCATTATTTGTTAACATGAAGCAGTCCATCAATGGACGTGTTTCATTCAATTCTGTCCTGAGGAAAGAAAGCAGATTATGTTCGTTCCGCAGTGACGTTATGAAAAATTTCAAATTAGTTAACCCGAGAGTAAATAACCATTAAATATTATATAGTATCAGCATTAATAGGAAAATACAGGTACCTTTTATAATTGATTATCACACTTTATTCGAAATAATTGCATACACATGATCTGACAATATTTGTCCACACCCCTCCAAACCGTATAAATAATCCAAATACTGGCAAGGTGAAAAACTAATGCTTAGTTTTTTATGCGGAAGTTGTATAAAGATATTTAATTACTTTACTGTGGCCACACCAAAAGTTCAGTTTGTACACTTTCTGACAGTATGCACTCCTTCAACACCATATAATGCTTTGATACATATGGTGTCAAAATGGTAAACAATACCAGTGTCATTATAATAATAATTTCCACATAATGGTTAAGTTGTAAGTGGAATTATAAGTACTTTGTCTAGAAACTGTTCAGAAAGACAACAGCATTTTCAAAAAGTGCATACATGTATTTTGGCTCTCAAGAAGATGTTTACTCTTGTTTTGTGTTCACAGAGTCTAACGGGAAGCAGGGCACACAGGTCTGCCCAGAACCACAACCGGTCTAAGGTGCTGCAGCTGCCTAATGGCTAGGTCCCCACACCCAGCCAGAGCTTTGTCCAAGATAGTCTTCAACTTTTTGTCCACAGAGAAAGCGTGGGGCTTCAGCAGTTGGCAATGAGTCCGCCTCCGGGTGTGAACTACCCCCAATCGATTGTTTTCCTTCACTGAACAACTGCGTCTAAAAGAGCTCTGCCGTTTATTGGACGTCAACAGTTTTTCAGTACACACAGCCTCTTGAACAAACTTCAGGAAGGAGACCTGGAAGTCTGACGCTTTGTGTGTCGTTTTCTCATATAGTCTGTGTGGTGGGTTGTGAGGGACCTCCATGACATTTGATGGCTGTTCAGATAAATCATTTTTCCTTTTTAAAGGCTCCCGGATACGAGGAATGGACACCAAAACAGTTCTGTTCTTAAGTTTTTCTTTTATCATTTCTTTTGCTTTGTGGTTTGATAGATCTACAAAGCCCTTATCTATAATAATACGTAATGAACTTGGTGGGGTTAGGTCTACAGTTACTGGACGCAAAAATGGTTTTATTTTCTCTAGACTTAGCCTCTCCTGGGTTTGACTATTATGAGAGACAGATGCTGTTTCCTTAGCGTGTTCATCAGTGCTGGGTTCTCCATAGAGCACGTCGTCTGCGCCCACTAGTATACTGTTCCTTTCGACAGATGGCTGCTCCTCCTGTACTTTGGGGAATCCCATTGAGTCTGGAGGGGTCTCGTCTGGCGTCCCTGTCCTGATACAATGTAAGCTCACGGGTGCAGGCTGCTCCCCTGGGTGGTCTGGCTCTGTCTGGTACTCCATTTTGCGAACTGCATTAGGACTAGGTGCTCTTGTGGGTCTTACAGACTTTCTCTGAATCGCCACCTCCAGCTCCTCTGCGTTTAAAAGAAGCTCCTTTTCTGCGTTTTCATATTTATCGATGCACAGTTCATGTACGAGTAGATAATGTCGGCGTAGGCTCGATCGGTAACCAACCACACGGTCACAGGCGTGAATCATGCAGGGAAAAGCCTCGGCATGGAAGAAGTCTTGGCACATTTGCAAGGCCTCTTCCTGTGACTTTAAGACAAAAGGAACTTTGCCCTTTTGTTTTGTATTTTCATTTTGTTCTTTTTGATTTATCTTCTGTGTTTGTTCTGTGTTGGAACTTGCCTGAGCACTTTGAACGTTTTGTGGATCTGGATCTTGCCTCTGAGGGCTACTATTGGCGACAGGTTTCCTCTGACATCTGGAGCTTCTGCGCATAGATTTGAAATATTGACAGTGGTCGTTACGCTGAGGTTTCTCGGTTACATCCTCATCAGGGGCTGTGGCTGTGCTGTTTTCGTTTTTGGGTGTCACTTCCGGTTGCGAGTGGCAGTCTCTTGTGTGACGAGCCAAGCTGCTTTTCAGGTGGTAGGACATGTGGCAGTTCGCAAAGTGACATTTGTACTGTGGCTGGGGCTCATCTGAATTTGGTGCGGGCCTCTTTTTGTCCTTCACCTCAGAACTTCCCTCGTCACATTCGCTTTCCAATATAAGCTGGGATTTGTTGTAATGATGGACCATTTGAAGGTGACGCACTAGCCCCCCTTGGGCAGAGAAAGCAGCCTCGCAGTTTTTTGCCACACAGTGAAAAGGCTTGCTGAATTTATCCAAAATATAGCAGAGGTTATCTTTTGCAAGCAAGCGTTTAGCTCTGCCGTTCTGAGTCTCCCCAGTGTCGCCTTTCTCTTCTGCGTTTTGCTCCATACTTTTTTGACTTGAACGGGTTGCCTTGGCTGGAGGGGGTTCCACCTCCTCAATGGAAACCGCATCAATGACATGGTCACTTTGATGCTGACCGTCGTAGTGACGGTCCAAGTTGCATTTTTTTGTGGCTCTGTAAGTACACAGGTTACATGCAAATGGTCTGGGTTTGCCTTTGTCCTGTGTGCGTTTAGCATCTCTTTCTTTGTCAACGTCAGGTTTCTTTTCAAAAACTGGCTTTAATTCAATTGGGGTTTCTGGAGTGAGCTCTGGGGGTTCACTCAGAGTGGAAGCGCAGTTTAGGTCAAGCTTACAAAGCCTATTTATGATTTCTTTCAAAGCAGAACTGGAATCAGTGGTTTTCTTTTCTTTCCTAATCTTGCTGGACAGGCAAAGCAATTTGGGTTCTTCCTGCCCTTTAATACCGCTGTCCCTTTTCTCATCTTTCACTTTCTTGGATGAGAAGCCTCGATCTCGATCCCTGCTGCGTTTATGCTCTTTGTTTTCCATTTTCAGGTGCTCTGGATGGGCGCATTTCAAATGTCTCTGCACATCACGGGCTCTGGAGAAAGTCATGCCGCATTTCTCGAATCCGCACGTGAATTTGCTCCCGTCGAAACACACAGCAACCAGAGTTGTTTTGGCCTCCACCTTTTTTGTGGGCTCCATTGGGGAGGTTCTGCCGGATGTGCCGAGGTCTCCTTCTTGGGGCGGACTGCAATCAGACTTAATGTGATGATTGTCCAACACATTAATTGTAGAGGCTTTAAACCGTACTCTTTTGGCTTTCCTCTGTTCTTCGAAGTCTCGCTCTGAGAAGTGGATGCCATGCGTAGCTAAATGTTGGCTGAACGCAGCCTTAGAGAAATAGAACTTTTTACATTTTGGGGCAGTACAAGTGAACGCCGCGTCTCGGAAGTGCTGTGCTTCATGATGGTATAGCTGCCCAAGATCCGAGAACGTGACGTAGCAGCCCTTGAGCTCGCACTGGTAGCTCAGCTGATAGCCGTGCGTCTGTTTGTGCAAGAGGAGCTCACCTGGAGTCGCGAACTGCCCTCCGCACCCCATAACCAGACACGTGTAGGGAAAGTCTCCGGTGTGAGTTTTGCTGTGTCTGCGATCGTAGTAGGAGGACATCAAATGTTTCCTGCAGAAGACACACTTTTCTCGCTTATCTTTCATCTTCTGGAAATACTTGACATTCTCGTCGCCCCTGTGTTCGGATTTCAGGTGGACATTCAGGTACTTTGCGTGTTTAAAAACCTTCGGGCACTTAGTTCCGGGGCATGGGTACTCGTCTCGGTTTTGCAGCGTGTAGTGTCTGAAAATGTAATCAAACGTTACGTGTTCGTCGCTGTCCGCAGGCTTCTTTGGGTTGTTCACTTGTTGTACTATGTGCTCCAACACGTCGGGGTCGTGTGTAGATTTGTAGTACATCATTAAAGAGGGGTCCACAGGGATCTCCCCAGGCTCGGTCTCCTCTTCTTCCTCACTCTGCCTCTCCTCCTCGTCCCCTTTCTGTGCTTTCAAACTGGGTTCATTCAAAGAAACCATAGGCGCGTTGACGTGGTCGCTCAAATGTGGGATCAGCTGCGTTCTGCTCCTGAACCTCTCCAGGCAGATGGGACAAGGATGCAAATGCTCTTGAGAGTGTCTTTTAGAATGGTGGGCGAGTTGGGCGTCAGTGATGGACCTCTTACAAACCTGGCATCGGAACTTTCCCCTTTTTGACTTTGAAGAAGGTTGTTTTTCTGATAAATCAAAGTTAATTTTCTTCTTGTCATTTGATTTAGGAACACCATTCAATCTGTTCTGACTTTCCAAATCTCCGGGGATATTTTCATTCTTTATTAATTTGCACTTTTCTTGTGATTCTGGTGCATCTTCTTCTTCGGATTCTGGTTTTAGACCAAGAAGAGAAATGCAATGATGCTTGAGAGTTTTCCAGTCCCAAAATTCTGGGTCAAAAGGCCAAAATGATTTAAGGGCCAACAACAGCTCGCAGCGCAGAGAGTTTGGAACGACCATGTTCTCCTGCTCATTTTTATGATCCGGTCGTAGGTGCAGTTCCTCCAGGCATCGGAAGACTTCTTGACTAGGGCTGATTAAGAATTCTGTGAGTTGACAGGCCCGGCAGACTTCCAAGTCCTCTGAGAGAAGGCAGGACACCGTTTTACAGACTGAGATCTGCATGTCGGAATCGTCCTGCTTTGGCAATTGGAGCGCTTTCACACACAGTTCAACGGATGGTGCTACACCCAGATCCTCCACCTGAAAATACAGGTATAATTGATTTCACATACAGTAACCTTTACTGGGTGGTTTAAAGAAACAATTCCTTTAAAACTTACCTCTGTTTGAATAACTCTGACCAGGTATAGTAAATGATGTACTGTTTTGGCAATGGCACCGAGTTGAAGGCATCTTTCCAGAAATGAGAGCAATGCAGGATCAAGCTTTCTTTGAAGCTTACTCCACATGAGAATCAACTCCCTTTAACCAATCACAGCAATAAACACACAATAAATAATGTTGCTCTTGCTTTTAACATAAAATAAATAAAAAAGAAGGCAAAGCACTGACCAGGAGCAGTAGAGACTCTGCTGCTGTAGCTGCTGTGTGAGAAAAGTTGTACACAATATGAATGCTGTGTTCTCATCTCCGTCCGTCTCCATGTTACACGTTATCTCCATTACGTCCTTGCAATCGAGCCTGGAGATCTGTGGCAAGAATTTCAGGGTTATGTTGATAAAAACAGCAAGCAGAATTACTCGTCCTCAGATCTGTGTATGTTTATAGAAAACAAACCTCTGATAAAGCTTCCTCGCTGGGCAGAAGGTGGCATAGTAGCGACACATATGTTTGACGAAAAGTACATTTGTTTGAAATAAAGTTGCATTCGGCACATGCTTTGGCAAGAACCACCGCTTTTGCCACTTCACCCATCTTCTCCAAGTGTTTGACTCGCATTTCCATAAAGTCTTCCCCTTCCAAGCAAATGTATGCTTCCACTAGGAATGAACAAAAGAAACAGACAATTGTGCGTTTGAGTGATTTGTCTAATGAAAACACAAAATAATGCACAAGTAAATGAAATAAAAACCTTCGTCGGGGCTGGTGGGCTGTCCTGTGAGCAGTGATGTAAGGACAGGGTTACTCCAGGCCCCTCCTTCTCCTGTGAGCTGCACCAGAGCCAGTAGATCTGTGCTGCCATAGTCCAACAGCATACTGTGAGCAAGCTGCAAGAGCACAGACACTGTTAACACATACTCGTGTGTTAAATTATGTTGTGAAAGTATTTGATTAACACAATTATAAACAACAGAAAGTTATTTTCCAGGATATTGTAGAATCATCCCTTCAATTTGTATGTTTAATTTCACTTAATGTTTGTAGATTTGTTTGCTTTTTGGTGAAATTATGTGTATTTCCCTAAATGTCTGCGGATATGTCAGCAGTGTGGCTCAACATAACACAATTTGTAAAAGACAATAAATATATAAAGTTGTGATATTTGTAGGACCGCACATGTACCTGAACGGACTGGTGGAACTGAAGCCACGCTTCATATGGGATCTCGTGTTCAGGGACTGACAGAAACAGTTCAAAGCAGCTCCTGAACATGAGAAGAAGAGCATAATAACTTTCAGATACATAAGAAAAGGTAGTGAACAAACAAATCATTGAATGCATGTCAAAGAACTACTTACAATGCCAATCTTTTCAAGATAAGGCCCACTTTCTCAGACTCTGCAGTGAGATAAGACCTGGCTGAGGCAAAGCAGTTGATGGAGAGACAGTACACCTCCAGAAGAGGCAGTCCATGGTCCATGGAGTTTCTGCTGCCAGCGTAGTGCATCAGTGCCTGCACACAGCACAGCCCAATAGATCAGTTTGTGAAAAGTTAGATTATGGGGGACCTACTTCCTCAGGGACAGCCTGGCCTGACACTGATACTATATTTTTGGTGATATAATATTATATAGTATAGAGTATAAGGCACATGTCACACAGTCCCTTAATACTCAATTGACAAAACTGACAGATGTTAAACTTTGACCAACCAAATCTTGACACTTTTAACTCACAGACCAAACATTTAACGACCTCAAAAAGGTCTCACTGACACGAATGATAACGCCACTTAATCTACTTTGCTGTTTTTGTCTCTTATAATTTCACATTTTACTATCAATCTCCCAGGAGCCTCGTTTTGTAGCTGAGGTTCAAAATGAAACCCCTCCACACCTCCTTTTTAGAGGTGATGAGAATAAGGTTTCAAACTCCAGGGACTTCATCCGTGTGCCAATTACTCCTGTGCCACTTTCACGGTTTCTGACTCCTACATGTTTAAAGAAGATAGAATGAGGAAATATCTCTCATACAATACTGCAAATGATTATCAGCTTTGCCAAAACTATTATTGTGACAGTACGGGGTACTGTATTTATGCCCGTCCTGGGAAAAGAAAGATGGATGTATTGATATTGAGATATTGACTACAACATTGAAAAAACATTATCATTAAACGTGATTATAAATAGCAGGATTGAGCAATAATCAGCCAAAAAGTGACTTCAACTCTAATTATATCACATTACTTATAAAATAGCTTACACGTTCTATTCATTGCAAAGAAAATGCACAGGAGAATAGATAATGAATCGTAAAATATGTTGCTATACTAGTACTACGACAATTTCTGAAGTGTCGTGTCCTACATATTTTGCAAATTAAGAGACACTATCATAATGGAGTTTAGAAGAGTGGACAGGGCATTAACTTATAAACAAATACATGCGGCACCAAATTGACTTGAATACCCAGTAGTCATTTGTAACAGTCCGGCCCTGCACGCTTTGTTGGAAACGCAAACACATTAATCTTTCAAAACCAATACATTTCTTCATTCGTCTTATCGCGCTTGCACATTTTACTTTCACTTTCTAAATCAAACCGGCCATTGCTAAACGGTTGAAACGAAGGCCGCGCAGTCTGTGGATAACTCAGACAGGTTTTATAATCCATAAACATATTTGACATCTTTGAACATACAACTTTGGTAAACAAACGAATACTACGACGCCCCGCCCCACTACAAACCCAACGCTGATCAGCAAAACATACATACAGAGCTAGACCAAACATAGAAGTTATCCTGGCTGAATATGACAAGAAATAAATGAATGAAACACGACATAAAGTTTTCCCGTCAATGAGCTGTCAATGTAGCCAGCTGATTTGTTTAGCCAGCACGATGAACCACTGCTGGAAACTGCAAATAAAACCAAATGCATAGGGATAAACAACAACACACGTGCTCTGGTGCCGCTTAAAACATTTAGAAATACAATAGTTGATGCAATTGCGTAAAACCAGTCATTGTGGGCAAATGGTTGCAGCGGTATCTGGAATGGCAGTGTGAGCAGCTAACGGTGTGCTAGCTTCAGGGGCTACTGTACACATTACCTGACAGAAGTTGTCACAATACTCCGCGGACGAGGCTATGGAGACGTCCTGCTGCCTGAGCACGTCCTCAAAGGCTCGTAGAGTGGCCAGCAGGTTTTCCATGGCCACCAAAGTGTCCTCCGTCGAGTCGAAGGCCCGCTCGATCCATCCGGACTCCGGGTCGACATTATTCTCCGCCATCTTCACACTGGAACACAGCGCGTATGCAGCGAGCAGAGGGAAGCCTGGCGCCGCATTCACGGGCCGTCGGAATAAACAGATACCATCCAAAACAAGCCATTTCTGCTGACCTAAATTAATGTTTCCGACCAATCCCATGTCAATGAATTAAAAGGCTTACAATTCCACAGACCGTCATGTAAAATTCTAAAACGGAACTTCCAGTAAACCTCAATCAACACATTACTCATTTTTCACACTATGCAGAAATGTTATCTATTTATTTATATAAATGTATTCAGTTGCTTTCTGTAAGACTTGTTCCGCCCACTTACTGAGTTATTCGTGTGAAACTGTTATCACTTCAAATTAGATGTTGTGTGTGTAGCGCTAATAGATCCATGGTGTAGCGTCCATAGACTGTAGCGTCCAGTTGAGTGTGCAGTTGAAGCCAGAACTGATGGTTAAAATGAAGTTTATTTTGTCCTTCCATATAGTCATATAACCAGCATAAGAGCTTGAACAGAAATAAAAAATCACCTTACAATTATGTCCATTTCCTATTTAGCAATAATTGTTAACCGTTATAATACAATTACTATGAATACACATTTAAACAAACTTTACAATTGTTACACATATCAAATAAATGCATACCTGGTTCCCTCTATCTCAACTGTAGCTAAACTTTATTGTTGTTTCTTTTATTCCATATTAGTGCTGTTTCCTATTTAGACCATTGAGTAGACCGTAGCTGTTTGTTTGTAACGTCCACAATTTCTATTGACATTATTGCATTAACTGATAAAACTTTACAGTGTGTTTGATGCTGAAAAAAATCTATAGCGGGATTCAATTAAAAAACTTTTTTAATGTCTTTTCTCTCCCCACGCGTCTCTCCCATAGACTGTATTGTCTCTCCGTCTGTGGTCTTGTGTTGCGCGAGCCACCTGACTTCCGATTGAGACAGGAAGCGTCAAAATAAAACAATTTCTATTGATATGATATTATTACATTAACTGATTAACCTTTACAGTGTGTTTGATGCTGAAAAAAATGTATAGCAGGATTCAACTAAAAACTTTTTTAATGTCTTTTCTCTTACTTTCTCTCTGTCTCCTGTTTACCTCTCATTCTCTCTCTCGTTCCTCTCTTGATCTCTTCTTCCTTCTCTCCTTCTCTTTCTTTCTTTCTCTCATTTCTTCTCTCGCTTCTCTTGTTTCTCTTTCCTAATAAATTATATATACATTTTTTTTTTACTTTTTAACATGTTTCCTCATTTCCTGTGATTTGCACATTTCCTGTCTATTAGCAAACTCTTACTAAAGCCAAATGCAACCGAATGCAACATGTACATTTCCCCATTGTGAGATCAATAAAGTTTGTATCTATCTTCTCCCTCTCCTCTCCCTCTCTTCTTCTTTCTACCCTCTTCTTCCCTCCCTCTCTCCTACCCCTCTATTCTCTCGAGGATTCCTTGAATTAAAAGAGACAAAAAAATGGATATTACAATAACCAAACCTGGTGCTCTCCTTCCCAAAGTTAATGACAAGGAAGGATGTGGGAGGAGGTGTATTTGTGCGAAATTCGGATTTAATCAGCTCAGTTTGTGATGGTAATGACCTGGTAATACCCCGGATGATGACCCGGAAACGCTCTCGTTGGATACACGTGCGGAAGGTAAGAGAGTCTGTAAACAAACCAACCCGATTTACTTATAAAATGCACTTCACATGATTAATGACTGAAGTATCTGATGATTATTGCATTGGTATAGTCCTCATACAGAGGCTGCTGTGTTTAATCTAGTATATAGTGCGTATCTTTGTTGCTCTTGGAAAGCATCTGGTCTTAAACTACCGAGGTAGCCAAGGTATGGCAAGTTTGTTTGTATAAAGGCAACCCAAAGTGTTTAAGAACACTAAAGAGTGAAAACAGAACTGTTTTTTAAAACCTGGATTTGAGCATTGTCAGAGTAGAAGCATGTCTCACATTCACAGGAAGACTGTTCCGGATTTTAGCTGCATACATCTGAATGCTGCTTCCCCATACATAGTACATAGAGGTACACTATTATGATGTGAATAAAATCTTTATATATGTACACCCAATGTCTATACACCCATTTCTAATATAACTACAGTGAGGATGTATGTGAATTTTGGGGTTGTGTCTCCAGACTCCTCGAACCACCTGTAGGTCTCAAAGGTCACACTGTGGTGATGTAAACCACCTGGACACACTTTCTCGCATCCAGGTCTCTGTCTGATGCTGGAAGTTTATTTTGGTTTCTCTCAAGTTCCAGAGGTTTACTGATGTTTCTTTCTCTCAGACAGAATAAAGGCAGTAAAGTGTATATAGTCATTGTTACGTCACACATCGAAAGACATACGTGTCACACAGAGACAGAGCATTGCAAATCATAGTCATAACATAGATGCACCATCAGAGTCCTTGTAGAGTCTTACAATTGTCCTGCACGTTGGCCAAATAGCTATCTAATCCTCACACTACTATATTGCAGGTCCTAAGTGTACACAAAATATTAAGGAAAACGTATGAATATAACTACTTTAAAGGGGTAGCTTGATAAACAAATAAAGTATTTTGTTATGATGACCTACTGATTTGTGTTTATTCTAGAATGGTAAAATCCAGGCAAATTGGAAATCACAAGAGTGATAGAAAGAAGCACATTGCTAAGACATGGAAGACAAAGAGACGGACCAAAGACCTGGATCAAATCCACAATGACATGAAGCCGGAGGTAGCAGCCAAAATGCTTAACCAAGAAGTGGACTACGATGTTACTGGAAATGCCCAACACTATTGCCTGCACTGCGCGTAAGGACGGGTTAACATCCATAATGAAACACATATTGGTTTTGTTTGTGCTCAGCCCTTGTCTTTGTTTTTTAGGAGGTATTTTGTTGACTTAAGATCCATGAAAGAGCACTTCAAAACCAAAATCCATAAAAGAAGGTGAGTTGTCAACAGTGTTTGCAATCAACCAGTATGGCCTTTTGCAGTCACGTGAACAACGTGCATCTGTGCGCCATACTGAGGGGGTAGCAGATGTCAATCAAGCTGACAGTGCAGTCAGCGTGATTTATTTTTTGAGCAAATTGGACATTTCAAAATAAGAACGACACTACATTTTTCAGGGAAGAACTCAACAAGGATACCAAAGACCTGTATCTACATAGCTTACCTCTATCAGCAATGTAGTTTTAGATCTATATGTGTTAGCTGCCAAAGCAGGGTCAAATGACCCAGCACTATTTCCATCAATAACAAATATGTACATTGTTTGTTATCTTGTGAATGGAGTCGGTGCATAAGGGTACAAAATATATGTTCATTTCAACCAGAAGGATCTGCTAACACCATTATCACAACAACGGTAAGATACCAGTAATATAAACAAATTAATCAAACATGTACAACTTAAAGACGAATTAAAATGGAGAAAGAAATAGCACTTATGTTGAAGGTTAATGGGCAGGACGTTTGTTTGGCAATTAAACGCGATTGTTGTCATCCCCTTAATATGGTGCTTGAGCTCATGTGTGACATCATTTGCAAGAAAGTCATTGCACTTTTTGGCTTTTACTTTCCAGTGTTGATAGTAGTTAGATTTCACATTGAATTTAATGTTAGTAACTACCCCTTTTCTCCTTGTTTTCAAGATTGAAACAGCTAAGCGAAGAGCCGTACACCCAGGCAGAAGCAGAGAGAGCCGCAGGAATGGGGTCTTACATTGCTGCTAAAAAAGTTGAAGTGAAGACCCAGCCGGTTGAAGAAAACATGGAGTGATTTATAAACCATGGACTGAAATCAAAATCAAATTGCAAAAAGCAATGTAATAAATGGAGTTTAAGATGAAATGTTTTACTATGATTATACGTTGTCCATTGACAATACACAGTGCTAGACCCGTTGGAAGTATAATGTAAAGAGAAGTGATAATTTTCCTTCATTCTGCTGTCTAAGATTTTGAAAAGTATTTCCTTTTCGGACCGGACCTTCTACATAGATATATCTGTTGAAATGCAGAACTTGTATTTTTAAATCATTAGTAATCATTGTAAGATTTTGTGGTTCTGGATTTTAGGAGATAAAAATGAAAATTAATGATGTGTATGTATGTATGTATATATATATATATATAACCATTTAATTTTCATCCAGGGGTCAATCAAATTCAGTATATTCTTGTATAGCCTGGAATCACAACAGTAGTTATATTGGAGGACTTTACTAACTGAAAATGCAATGATATAAACACATAGTTATTGGTCCATAAGGGGCAGATGACCAATGTCAATAAATGTTGTGAGTGTTGAGTATTTGTATGAGTTCTGGCATATTTTATTTTGGTTTTTTTTGCCTTTGCTTCAAGGGACTACCACAAATATATAATTTGGGAACATCCCGATCTTATTTTCTTTTCAATGATTTATCAATAACATTGACCATAAATAGTTATGTTGGCCTAATAATTTATTATATTTGTTTTAGTGAAATTGATCTCACTTTAACATACTACACTTCTCGCTCTATTTACCCCCCGTTTCTAGAAAGGAATTTGCAGATGTTTTTTGGCAAGAGTCAAACAGACGCTGGTTTTCAGTAATTGCCTTGTTTACTAGTTTGCCGTGCAGCGTATTCAACATCCTGCTGAAACCTTCAAAATAAAGCTGATTCAATCACCGCTAACTGACAGTCTATGGTCTCGACATTGGCTCGTGCTTTTATTTTGGAATAATACCCGGTTTGTTCGGACGGTCGCATAATCAGCTTTACCGAGTCTGGTAAATGTAACCCTAGATGTGGTGCAGCTAGCCTCACTGTACAGCTGTTGCCTTCACTGAGAGCAGATGCTTTCACACTACCCCAAATTGTCCGTTTCTGACTCAGAGACACTGGGGCCCATGTTTGACGACACGCTCCTATTTAATTAGCCGCTGTGGAGTCGGCGGGAATGGCCGCGGACGTAGATAAAAGCCAACCCGGGGATGGGAGCTGCAACCCGGTGCAGAACGAAGCAACCCGCCCTGGGATGACTTCTGTGCGGTGGCTCTGGAGAGGAGTTTGGGTCCTGATCCTTACTGCTGCGGTGCCTCTCCTGGCGTTTGGAATCAAGTACCATCAAGATGCCCAGCTTGTCAAACGTCACGTAAGATGCGCAATTAAGTACAACTTTTAGCAGGTCTTAATATGATTTAGGGTTTTGCCTTTTTAGGGTTCCTATTTGGTGTACATAATACAGTCTGGACTATCATAAAGGCTTCACTGTTCTCCCAGCTGGCAGAACTCAAGTCTATTTACTGAGTTTACCTTACTTTCAGATCTCCACCCCCCTCCCACCATTGTAAGAGCAGTGGTAGGCACCCATCTGTCTGCTGTCTGCACCACAAGCCTCAGGGTGGTTGAGATATATTTGAGATTTTCTGTTTTTTCTGTTGTTGTCGTCTCCTTGTATGGATTCATGTCCTAGTTTTGTCTTTACACATGGCATAACTCCCTGAAGCGTGCCACATGACAATAGGATCAGTCTTACATACTTGATGTGTGTGTGTGTGTGTGTGCAGGAGGAGAGCTTGCATACTCTAGGAGCAGAAGGACTCTTTCTATTCTCCTCCTTGGACACTGACCGGGACTTCTATCTCAGTCCAGAGGAGTTCAAGCCTATTGTGGAGAAACTCACTGGTACCACATGCAGAGACTACCTGTAATTCGTCTCTTTAAAGTGACGCCACAGTGACTAATTATACATTTATTCCATAGGAGTTACACCTCCCTTGGAAGCCGAAGAAGAAGCCATACACGACCCCAATGGAGAGACTTTGGTATTGGTGGCAAAAATGCAGCCTCTTCAGCTGGAGTCTATGACAAAGAGCAAGGATGGGTTTCTTGGGGTACGTTTTATTTTAAAGTCCTTACATTAGGCTACAATGTACTATTCTAGTAGCTTTAGTAGTAAGAATTGTATTTCAAACGTGAATGAAACAATGCAATCAATCAACGTTGCACAAAATACAAACAAGAAGATACAAACTAACCACAATAAAACGAGACACAAAATAAACAGAAGTAAACCGTGAGGTCTACTGGTAACCAAAATGCAAATATTAGTGTTCTTGTGGGTCCAGGTTTCTCACAGTTCTTTGAGTGGTCTTCGCTCATGGACGTCTCCCGCAATCCCCTCCTCCACGTTCTCGGCCAGCCAGTTCAGAGTCTTCCTGCCTCCAAAGAATAAAGTAGATGTGGGAGACACATGGTGGGTCATCGCAAGTGATCTCAATATTTTTACTGGTTACCTGCCCAACAATCGCTATCATCCTCCGACTCCAAGAGGCAAAGAGGTATACAAGATTGGCTGAAAAAAAACTAAAACTTTTGGGAAGTCTTTGTGAATAACTATATGCTTGTTCCAGGTTTTCATTCACTCTCTGCTGAGTATGTTTCACCCTCGGCCTTTCATCAAATCGCGGTTCGCTCCCCAGGGCGCTGTGGCTTGTATCCGTGCAAGCAACGACTTCTATTTTGATATTCACTTTCGGTAAGCTCGGCAATAACAATCCAACCGCTGCATTTAGGTTAAAATTGGTAATAAATGTAGGTTATTACTACGTTTTTACATAATTCCATTTATCTGATAAATCTGTTCTGATAATTCACTAGTCACTTTACCTGCTGCTATTATTACTATTGTTTATTCTGGTCATAATCTCTGCTGCTAAAGTATAATATAGACATCTGTAAATTACTCATGATGTCTGCAGTGTATACTCCACTGGTGTACTTCTCCTTGAATCTCATAGCTCCAGAGTTTTATTTTATCTTAAATAATGGATCCTTTTTGATGAGTGCAACCTGAGTGCTCTTATTTCCTTCTTTCATTCTGCTGTGATTCAACAATGACATTGAAATTTCCCCACTGTGGGATGACTAAAGGTTTATCTTATCTATAATAGACTCCTATTGGCTTGACCCTTTTGTCTCCAGAATTCATGCGGAGTTCCAGCTAAACGAAGTGCCAAACTTTCCCTTTTGGTTCACCCCGGGTCAGTTCGCCGGTAACATTGTGCTCTCAAAAGACGGTTCTCACGTTCGCCACTTCCACCTTTACGTCCCCAATAACAGGTACATCAGATCAAACGCACCATCTACAGCACTTATTGCACAAATGTTAAGCTCGCCAGAAACTTTCAGGTGCTAGAAGTATAAATATAGGGTTATACATTATTATAGTATATTTTACATATCTTCTCCATGTGTGTTCTATCTTCTCATAATTATAACGTATATTTTTATTACGACTGCTAAAAGTAGTAGCTCTCTGACTCTTCTGTTGTAAAAAAGTAGCTCTCTGATTGAAAAAGGTTGAGGACCCCTGGTGTAAATGTTTTTTTCTTTCATTCATTGGGCTCAGGTCTCTAAACGTGGACATGGAGTGGTTGTATGGCTCCAGTGAAAGTAGTAACATGGAGGTGGACATAGGATACTTACCACAGGTTTGTATTTGTTTGCTCTTTCTTAGTTGTCGCAGATATGAAATAAAATTGTCGTTGTTTGCAGATGGAGCTGCTGTCTTCTGGCCCATCCACTCCCTCCGTTATTTTTGACGAGGAGGGTAATATACTGGACAGTAAGGAAAGCAGTCAAGAGCCAATCCAGTTTGTTTTTGAGGACATCGTCTGGAGCTCAGAGATCAGTCATGAGGATACAGTTCGCCGCATGGAGGTCACTTACTATCCATTCAAGAAGGTGTGCATCTCTGATCCTTGGTCGCACGCTGACATGTAAATATGACTACCTTTGACGCGCTGCCTATTCTGTCACAGGTCGATTATCTTCCCTTTTCAGAGGCTTTCACAAGAGCGGAAGCAGAAAACAAACTTGTACATTCAATTTTACTGTGGGGTGCGCTCGATGACCAGTCTTGCTGAGGTGAGTTTGCATCATCTTTAAAGCCCTGTTTCCACCAGCCCTCTTTGGCCCTACTCTGCTCTTCTCTCCCCCAATTGGGAGCGTTTCCACTGGCACTGTTTAACTCAGGTGTGTCAAACCAGTCTCAAAGGGCCAGTGTGCAGATTTTAGTTCCGACCTAAGTCAGAGCACCTAAGACTCCGCCCATTTCCTGAGGTGAGTCCAGTTTTAACCTGAATATTTGAGGAAAAGGGAGGCGTCTGGTGTCTTCCTGCAGCCACACTGGCCCTTTCTGGAACCGGTCTGACACCCCTGGTTTAACTGGTACCTGGTACGTTTTAAACCAGGCCGAACATTGTTCAAACTCCCAGTGATTTGCCAAAGTGCTGCTGGAAGCCGTGGTTACCAAGCCAAGTATATTGATTTGTTTTGAGTAGGTTGCTATGATAAAGTCTAAGAAACTAAAGCGCAATTACTGAACTAATGTCAGAATGTAAAATATAGAACCACATGTGTTACTGTCACTTTACTGAGTCACTTTGGCGAAGTTGAGCCAAATAAAGCAGAGCCAAGTAGGGCTGGTGGAAACAGGGCTTCACTATGATAAGAAGTTATACTGGTTTAACTAACAATGGAAACTAGTGAAATAACCAATTACTAATTACATAGATTTAAGATAAAAGTACGTTGTTCACACCGGCAGTTCATTTTTTTGTATTTTCAATAAATCTGTATTTTTGGCTCTGTGTGCAGGTTCTGGGCGAACTCTCCGGGAAACTGTCCTGGAAAGTTCGCCCGTTCTGGCGCTCCTCAACCAGAGCTTCATCAGCAGCTGGTCTCTGGTCAAAGAACTGGAGGACCTGCAGGTTTGTGTCAGTCCTACTGTACACTATATTCTTCATTTAGGCTACACCCACACAAGATCAAACCGCTTTCTGTAAACGAGTCTGCTCAGTAAATGTTTGTTCACACGAATGAAGTTGATGCACCTGAATACGCTGTATTTTTTGACTTTGTGTGGACTGTGTTTTCAACAGGCTGCGGAGAAGAACCTTGTGAGTGAGAAAGCCCGTCTACACCTGGAGAACTACAACTTTCCTGTAGAGATGATGGTGGCGCTGCCTAATGGGACCATTGTAAATATTTACTTTCAACACAAAGCATCAATCCACTGCTCCTGATGCTAATGAGGCCAATTGTATTTCTATCTTTTTTTTTAGGTCCACCACATCAATGCTAACTATTTCCTGGATCAGACTGCCATGAAACCAGAAGAGGAAGGAGCCACTTTCAGCTTCTCTGGGGGCTTTGAAGACCCCTCAACGTCCACTTACCTGAGCTTCCTGAAGGAGGGCTTAGAGAGGGCCAAGCCGTACCTGACAGAATAATGTGACTGAGACTGTTTGAATATCCACATTCGCTGCAAAAAGTGACTGGAAAAAAAGTAGTCAAAACTGCTTAAATTTGGCATAATGTATCTTGATTTGAGCAGTCTGAAACCCTTAAAACAGGATTTGCCAAAGGGACAAACACAATTATCTTGTTTTAAAAAGATAGACCAAATTCCTCCCTTGGAATGAGAAAATAAAGCCAGAAGAACTTCAATTAAGATAAGAGCTTCTAGATTCAAGCAAACATTACCAAATATTCTATCCTTTTTTCGCAGTGTTCTTTTATCATATTTTGACACTATTTATTTTGGCTAATTTAATGGTTACTAAGTGTACTCTCTGTTTAAGCTGTGGTCTTCAGTGCTTTGTTGCCAGAGACATGGGAGGTGTCTATAGCTCAGTATTTGTGAAGGTTTTGCCTCAAAGCTCCCTGTAGGCTGGGCAAGGCCTGATGGTTTTACTGATGTCGATGTAGACAACGCCCATTCTCGTCTGTAAACACTGGCCACACCTCACTGTTGCAAATGAGATCATCATGTTTTTGTACTTTGTATTGTAAAACGTTTGCATAATTATAAATATATAAATCATTGAACATATTCCAAGTATGTTTGTCACTGAATCATTTGCCCTTCTCACAAAACGTCACCAGACAATACACTTTCTTCAGTAAGTGGTACAATGATTTTATTTTCTATTCTAAAATATTTTTACAATATATTTACATCCTTGATTATTAATTCTACAGTGTGTAGAATGGAATATGGTTTGATCAAAATGTCAGTGCGCGATTTTGAAAGTGAAAGCCTACCCGATGACTTCCAGAGGCATTAAAGAAGAAATCAATTCTGTGTGTTATTTTTACTTTTTATATTTTTATTTAACTACTTTTGCCAGTAGAGGGCAGAACTTCTCCCTTCTCACCTGGCTTCTCATGTGCTGTATGGTCTTCTTCTGACTTCACTGTTGTGTATGTACATAGTGTCATGTGAACGCACAACGGCTAAGTCGGGCAATCTATTTACAAAGTTAGACTAATGATTGCAGAGGGAATGGTCCGACAAAATGACAGCATAAATATGAGTAGTGAAGAATGTGGCAGTTAGAGTTAAAAGAACAAAGATTTACAGAGAGATTCTGAGAGAGTTCTTGGAGACCAGAGGCTCCAGAAAGATGCAGGGGCCTCAGCCTGACCACAGAGTCCTTGCCAAACCCACAGGAATGATCGTGTGTCCAGAAGCTGCTTACTGCTCAGGATCCACAATATCAGCTTCCTGTTCATGACAAGCAGATCCTACACAGACGCGACGGACAGTGGTGACCGCTGCTGATTGGTGTATTTCTCATCAAAAAGTCCACACCTCCAGCTCAATGATCCGAAAGTCATCTGTTTCCGAGAGGCAGCAGTTATTGAAGGTGAAACAGGGGCTGCTGCGGCCCAAGAGCAGATTCTCGTCCACCCACAGCCCGAAGTGACCGCTGTGGAAGCAACACACAAAACCACAGTTACACGAGAAATACAGAGTCCAGCACTGGAGCTATAACCACACATTGTTGGCTTTGTCCTCGTTATTACTACAACCCAGAGGGAAGTAATGTTCTACTAAAAGTGATCATCAGCTTTGTTTGTTTGTGTGTTTGTGAGTAACATACTGTAAAAGTTATGGCAGGATTTGGACGTGTGCAATGGCCCAGTATAACCATCTGTAAAGGGGTTTTTTTATCTAAAGGAATGGATCTGGGCCTTCAGGCAGAGGTCTGGGCTCAACAAGTGATTACTCGGTACTTCCTTTATTTGTTAAGAAAAAAAAACAAAGAACAACTCTATTACCTTCCTCCTCCAATTGCGAAGGAATCCAAGTCTCCTTTTATAAAAAAGGAGTTCTCCCCAGTCCATCGGAAGCACTGCAGACAGAAATCTCACAACTTAGAAAACAGTCATCCTATCACTGCCTTTGTATTTTGAGTTGAAAAGATTCAAATGCAGTTATGTGAACCTTCTGTGAATATCAAACTATTGTCCTACCTTCATCCGTGGATGCAACATGAAGAGGAATGTTTCTCCTGTGCCATAGAAGGCTTCACTGGGTCTCAGGGGATGGGACAGAAAGGCACCAAACACCTACACATCATATACATGTTTATTCATTTATTTATTAAACTTGACACAATACTTTTTATTTATTTGTATCTCAATAAAGCATCCATGAGTGGTCGCTTGTCACTGGGTCTGTTCTGCATAAAATCACTTCACATTACAACACTCATTACAACACACATTACAACACTCAACACTCAAGTTCATTCAAACAGTGTTGTTTTACTATTTTCTTTAGAATTCATCAATTACTTTTTTGCCATGCAGCTGAGGATCTAAGGCATGTTCAAATATGATTCAGTTAAAAAGTCTATTAAAATGTTTTAGTACTGAAGAGCAGGTGTGTGTGTGTGTGTGTGTGTGTGTTTGCATGCATGTTGTGTTGACATGAATGACAGAGTTTGGAGTGCAATAAGCACCTGCTTTGTCCAAACCATTTTCAAACTGTAATACTGTCTTTGTATCCTGTTTATTGTTTTGGAAAGAAATACACATTTGAAAAAAATTAAAAATACTCTTAAAAAAGAAAACTGTTCTCCTCATAAAGCTTGAGCGGAAAAGAGCACCCTCCCGAGTTCCCTGTTTCTGTTGTTTTGCTTTTATTCGGTCAGTCTCATTCAAGGTTTTGTTTTTGTGACAGTTCACTTTTGTTGAGACAGAAGAAGGATTAGTGTTTAGTTTCTGTGTTTGTTCAAGTCTGTCCTTGTATATTTTTCCGGTTTATATTTTTCACTTCCTGTAACTCAAGTGCATGTTTTTGTAAATGGGATAGGACCAGATCCATGAGTAGGACGAAGCACCTTGACTACATGCCTCTCAACCCCCCCTCCCACTCTCTCACACCCCCCTCTCTCCCTCTCACCTCTTCAAACACAACCTAAAAAGGTGCTGTTTAAATATCCAGACCCACAGAAGCCGGTGTACCTCATCCAGAGCGTCCTTTATGACCACGAGCGCCGGAGAATCGGACGCACTGACTTTCCGGTACAGACACTTGAGACTGGATCCGTGGAGAGAAGTGCTGTAGATTAGCTTCCAGTTATGGCCTACGGTCCTGGCCGGCAGCTCCTTACAAAGCTGAGAAAGATCAAAGGAGAGAATGCAATAAAAGTCCAAATGAACGGAAGTGCAGGCTGAGCAGCTGCAGGAGGGGCAGGGGGTCGGCTGTAGGGCTCAAGATAAGGCCATTGTTGAAAGTGTATGGGGAAGAGTGATCTATCCAATGCTAACGTTTAAAAGGGACATAAATACATTTTAGAAAGAGTTTTGTTTAAGTAACCATTTTGTGAAGCGATCAGATCACAACATGCAATCTTTATCCCATTATAAAACAGTTTATGTTTCTCACACTGGCTGAGCTGGCTGAGTGAAGGCTGGGTTCTCTCATTTGCACCAGAGGGGGGTGTCCCTGAATTATCCAATGGATTCTTAGGACGCCTTCTAAAAAACAACTTTACAGCCCGGTCCAAAAGTCAGCTCTTGGTTCAACGCTATGTTTCAGATAATGTCAATGCTGTGGAGAGTTTTTTTGGACTAGTCGAGTTTAGCGTAGTGGACCTTTGAATGCAATCGTTCTATGAATGGGGTTTGAGCTAACGCATGCGCAAATGTGTTTTTTCAACAAGAGGGAAAAGTGATGACAAATAAGTTTCAAAAGCGGAGATAGGCATCACTACATACCGTTCATTTTTACACTCTGTAGTTTGCACTGAAAAAGATGATCTAAAGATGTAAAAAATACAAGCAGGTGAAAACTATTGTTAGTAACTGTTAGAATTATGTAATTGTTTATATTTGTACGGATGATGCAGGTGGATTGCACCAGTAATTCGTGCATAGAAGTTAAATGAGTCACAGACAGGAAGATTCTGGAAACTAAAGTTACTGGTTAGGGTTAGGGTTAGCTGTATTGACTTTATTAGACTTTATTAGCAGTACAGCCATACCAGTGTCTACAAGGTTATCTAATTTAAGATAGGAATTGATAATCTCACAGCTTCAATTCCAATAAAACCAAACATTTCTCACCTCTTTCACATGAGAAGCCTCTAAAATGTGGCTGCGCTCCACGATACCCTGAAGTCCTTCTGGTTCCCGGTCCAGAACTTGGGTGAACCTTTCTTTGCTGTCGTCCATTAATATCATCTAAACACACACAAAAATGCAACAGTCACAAAAGCAGTTTGGATTTGCATAAAACATCACATTGACAAGAGAAGCATCTTTGAGTGTCCGAAAAAGTGTTATATAAAACAGATGCCTTATCATTATCATTAACTTTTTCCTGAGACTGAGGTCCTTTGATGTGAGCAGTCAGATGTTGCACAGTCTGTTGTAGCTAGTGCCATGTTCTTTGGGTTCGCATGTTGGGGCAGCAGTCTGACCTCGAGAGACAGTAACCGGCTCGACAGGCTGAAATGTGTCTCTGTGATGGGGTGCCTCTGCATGACACTACGGCCGCTCAGAGGAGTCATCGTAGCAACAGGCTCCTATCACTGCGCTGCCGAACGGAACGTTTTAAGAGATCCTTTGTTCCTTCGGCTGTCAGACGGTACAACAAACCTGGATGAGTCTTCTTCTGCTGGACACGTGAATTTCTCCTACAGGGATCAATGAAGTATCTATCTATCTATCTATCTTATCCTTGAGTGGTGTGCTGAGAAACTTTGTTTTAGATAAATAGTAATACAGGGGTCCCTCGCTATAACGCAGCTCACGTTTTGCTCCCTCGCTGTTTTGCAGATTTTTTGAGTGAGCTTTTTTACAGCGTGTTCGTAATGTGCAGTGTGTATACTGCAACAAATCACAATCAACAATCTTAAATCTAAAAACTCCAGGCAAAATCATAACCGTATCATAGCAAAAAATCTCGTATTGAATGAAAAGTCCCCTGTCTAGATTCATGTATCGAATCGGCAGGCTCTGAAAGATACTGAAAGTGTGTGTGTGTGTGTGTGTGTGTGTGTGCGTGTGTGAGCGCGTGTGTGTGAGTGTGTTTGTGTATTTAGTCTTGTCTTATACCATTGGTAGATACTGTACAGTTGTATGATTTTGAACTACTGAACCTTTTCTACTGCATGACATTACTATAGCAGTGTATTATGTGGTGTGTATATTGCAGAGTATTGTGTGTGTGTGTGTATGTGTGTGTGTGTGCCTCATATATTTGCTATGTGTCTGATATATTGATATGTGTGTTGAATTCTACTGCATGATATTACTATAGCAGTGTTCGGTGTGGCGTGGTGTGTGCGTGTGTGTGTGCATTACAGTGTATTGTGTGTGCGTGCTTCATATACTTATTATGTCTGTTATATTGATATAGATGTTGCGCAGTTTCAAAATTAATCAAAAAAAACATACCCAGCCCTAATATTGACTCTTGTCTTACCTCCCAGTCTTCTCCAGAGCTGAGTTTTCTCTGGTCATTTTCCTCCATCTCACTCTCTCGCTCCTTGTCCTCGATTAGAACAAACTCGTCGTCGTCCTCCTCCTCCTCCTGCGCTCCTTCCAGTAAGCACAGGTCCGGTCGACACTGCGAGAGGTACGCATACAACTCATCTGAGCTGCAGGACAAAACAAAGCGTTACTGGGACCTGATACCGACGTCTTGTGAGAACTCATTTGGTTAAGAAATCCAAGTATTTTTCCCTTGCAAAACCATTCAAAGGGAATTGGTGCAGCTCAAAAGGACGTGTAATCAATGAGTCACTTTCAGGATTTACCATTAAACGGACAGAATGTCAAAGATTAAATGTTTTGCGGTTACCTTTGTACTTGTGCTAGTGTTTGGACAAGGGTTAGTGTGTGTGTTTTTGTTGCATCGTTTAGCAAACATGAGGACGTAAAATAGGAACAAAAGACGTACATATAGTTGGGCTTTACAGTTTACACACAAATTTAGATGTTTTGGAGATTTAGGATACTTTTTTGTGTGATGCCACATAATTGCCATATCAGAAGTCTCCCTCCACATTCTAAAAAGTGTGTATAGTGTTGCAGATGTCTATCTCTGTATCAAATTCTGAGTCACGTCCATCCTTTTTTTGACAATATTAGCCTTTCGCATCTAGGACGGCTTGGAGTCTTTTGTGCTAGATGTGGATGAGATCCTTTAGTAAGTAAACAATAATTATTTATATAGCACATTTCACAGACCAAGATCACACAAAAGACTGTACAATGTTTAAATACAATCACAGTTCCATTCTCTCCACACACAGTGATGACAGAAGCGAGACGCCGAACACACTGGTACATCGAAGCCTCCGATGTCCCTCTCACTCAAAACACACAGATCTATTGTACAAGTTTTTAGTGTCAGAGGAAACCGCAGCACATGGAGGAAACTTACATAGGGAGAACATAACTCTAAAAAGATTGGCCCCAAATGTGCATCTACAACACATTTAGGGCTTCTCTATAGAGCGGCTCAATTATGTCAAAAATTTAAAATATAAAAAACATTATTTTTGACAACCATCAACTACGGGTGAGATAAAGGTTTGTGTGTTACCATTAGGTACGCACTGTCAGTCTGAACTGTGGCGTCACTGGTAAAGTCTGCTGTAAACATGTATGTTTACCTTTTTATTTTTTGTGACGTCTTTTTATCTGGACCCCATGTCTGTAATAAAGTTTAATAAGTAAGGATGTCTGATGTCCGAACTATGACCAAAACAAAGAAATTTCTGTCAGGGATGTGAACTTTCAAACACAGGTGTATATCATTATGTTAAAATAGTCAAATTCATTTGAGTGTGTGACATGTGAGTCTTGTACCTCTCCTGGGACAGGGTGAGCCACACGTCCCTCCTGGGCAGACCCCTCCTCCCCCCTGAGGGCAGCTGAGTCCGCAGTCTCACAAACATCAGGCCTCCAGGACGGCACTGCGACGGTCCTCTGTGAACTGAGGTCAAAGAGGATTGTTATGGAGTCAGGTGAAGAGAGGAATAATAACAAGTTTGCCTGTTTACTGAAAAAAAACACGGAAAATGACAAGGAATGCTATGAAAAAACTGCTTGTGATCACATTACTTACCAATACTTATTATTTACCAATGGACTCAAGCTAGAAAAAAATAGCTCAATGACACCTGTTCCTATGCTACCACCAGAGGTAGTAGAGGTTTGCATTTTTGCAAATTTGAAATGTATTGGCTGCAACAAAAGCAGCCAATGCAAGTGTCATCACAGTGGGCGAAAAGGGTAGAGTCAGGCCTGTGTCTAGTCTGAGATTATGTGTTGTCTTTACCTATTACTACTAGATTACTTACTATTGCACTGATCTTGGGCAGTCATTCAAGATTCTTAGAACTGTAGTTACACTGTATTTACACCGTAGTTACAACTAACCATTGCTTCGTCCAATCCCTTTACCAAACCAAGATCGGTCAATATGAGATCTTCCCTCATCCCTGTCTTTTCTTGAAGATAATATTTACCGTGATTCTGCTCCTTCTCGTCCTCCCTCCTCAGGTCAGCTCCTGGTCCAGCACAACAGAATGTAGCAGCACTGCTCTCCAACACTCCACTGAGTAGATCTGTGTCCAGCTCCCTCTCCACCTGAGCCATGTCCCTGCTGTCGGCGCCCTCGTCCTCCTCCTCTTCCTCCTCTGTGGCAGCATCACCGCACACGTCTCGCTCAGTCGGAGCAGAATTCAAAGAGGCCACAATGTCTGTGCAGCCTGTTTGCTCATTTCTTTGGCTTTTATGTGGTATTAACCTTTGGAATAGGTTTCTCCCTTTTCTCCTAAAACAACACAACAACATTGTACACATTGTTTGACTCCGAAGCATAACTTTACTAGAACTACACTATACTAATTGATCCTACATGCATACAGTACATTAAGTGTGTTTAAGAAGAAAAGGTCAAGCCTGGTTTGAAAAATTAAACCATGTGAGCTCAAAACCAGAAATACTATCTGACATCACAAATTGACTAAATGTTCTAAATGTCTCCCTTTCCTTCATAGGCCGAGAACTGAGCAATGTGGTCAGAAATGAGCAAGATGGACTGAAGTCAGAGGAATCCAAATTCCTAATTAGTCCAAATACAGCCACAAGCACTATCTTCCATCTTCTATAGGTTGTGTTCATGTTTTACAATTGTATTTCTACAGCAAGAAGGTCCTCGGTTCGAGTCCCATGTGCAATAGGGTGGAGTTTGCATGTGGAACTGTGACAGTTTTAGTTTTATGACAGTCACCGTAGTTACCAGGAAAGCATGATTCAGCTGCCCTCCCCCACAATGCTATAGGCTCTTTGAAATGTTGGACATGAACACAACCTATTCAAACTTTCCGGTGTGACAGAATAATCAATTTCTGCAGTCATCTGTCATTACTTATTTATATCTAAACTATTCACTACATGCTTTCTTTCGTCAGCGCCTGCGAGCCTTGACTAATTATAGAGTTTGCATTAAGTATCATAACTAACCTCTGCTGGAAAGTGTTGAAATGAACGTGAGTGATATCGGAATAGAAGGAAACCGAGGCCAGACTGTCCACTGAGCAGGACAAGACGTACTCCTCACAGCCGTGCTCCTTCACCAGGGGATGGGTCTTACACGGGTCGAAAAAGATCTTGTTGGAAGTCACCAGAAGAATCCCGGACACCACCCCCTGGAAGAGAGAGAGTGAGCCAGTAAAAAACTTACATTTGTTCAAGGGGATTTTCCTGAGCCGTTTTGAGCCCTCACCTGGCAGTAGGTGATGTAGCGGCAGAACAGCTTCAGGTACGGAGTGGTGTCTGCTCCTTCACAGCACTCTGGAGGGAGAGCCAGCAAACAGAGCTGTCCGTCTGGCATGGGCACGGCCTCCACATCCTGTCAGAATCCAAACGTATAGGTGTGATGGATCAATTCAACTCAATATATTCATGTATGGTCCTAAATCACAACCGCAGTGATAAAGGAGGACTTTACAAAACAATTGAATTCACTAACAATAGATCAGAGATTCCAACAGTTCAAGCCAGTGGGGGCGGGTCCTAGCTCAAAAGTGGCCAAAATGACGTGCTTGCAATACCAACCCGGGCCGATGGGGGTGGACCCGGAATAAGAATTATTAGCCAATGCTAACATATAGCATTGGCAGACCTCTCGAAAACGTCTTTACAGGATGGTCCAAGTTGGCTCTTGGCCCAAAGCTCCGTTCCACATGTGTGTCAATGCTGACGGGAGTGAATTTTTTTGGACCAGTCTAGTTTACTTGCTGTGAATTTTTGAAGGCACTCGTTCAAATGACTGGAGCTTGCGCCGGCTGACGCATGCGCAGATGCGTTTTTCTCACAATTTTTTTGTGGGCGGGACCACTCGCGGCCATTTTGGATTGCTCCAGTAGAGCACATTTTTTGACCCATTAGTTTGAACAGCGGAGATAGGCGTGACTCTGTCCGTTAATATATACAGTTTATGGTTCAAAGACATGAAATGCAATAATAGAAAACACATTGGTATTGGTCCATAAGGGGCAGATGGCAAATGTTCATAAACGTTTTTGAATATTGAGTGTCCTGGATTATCACCACTGTCCTTGTATTAGACCCTCCTGCATCGGCAAGGAATATCTCTAAAACTCAGTGGGAAAAGATGAAAATGGATGGATGGGCTTTAGAGCTAGGACTCTGTAGCCTGTAGAACGAGGACAGACGCCGAGGAGGACATTACACACCCAGTCTGAGAAGTCTTTGTTTGGACCACAGAAGTACGTGAAGGAAAGAGAGTGATGCTTTCAGCAGGATGGGAGAGGAGTGTAGGGTCAGAGAGTGCTTGGGTCTGCGTCTTGTCTGTTTGTGTGTATGTTTATGTGTCCGTTTTGTGAGTGACAGACATTGGAATCAAAAAAATGTCCAATAAGCTTCCTCCAACCTTTCTTCAAACAGTTTATCTGTTTGAAAAGGGATTGGACAAACCTGACATAATTTGTCTATTGTTTTAATTGTAATAGCTTTGTAATCAATTACCACGATTACTACTAAACCTTAAAACAAAACTCTATCTAGAATACTTTCACATAAAAAGAAAATGTAATTCAAACAGTTCAGGATGAAACATTGAACTCACCAGGAGCTTGTCATACTCTGCTTCTGGTGATGGAGACTGCTCGCTCTTGGCTCTCACATCCAGGCTGGACTTGGTCATTGCTGATTGCTGTGGCTCCTCTTGCGTTACACATGTATTTTTGTCTCTTTTCTCCTTCGGGACGACGAGCAGCTGCTTGAGTAAAGACGCCATAATTACAGAAAGACCTACTTCCCCTTTCTACTGCCCTCATCGGCTGCTGTGTCTGTTTGGACCAACATCATCCAGTCCCTTCGCATGAGCTGTTCATGACGTGGATCTGCCAACCGGGCCGGTATTTAGGGCAAACAACATGTCAGAGTGGCATTTTAGTGAACTCAAGAAACAAAAGATACAGAGTCCCTTTGTGTCATGAAGTACGTTTCGTGAAGTAATGGTCACATGATTGGGAAGAAAACATGACAAGCACACTTCCTGTCTCCCGTAAATAACCAGCTGCAGAACAATGATTGAGAGTAAGAGTGGAGAGTGGTTACAAACAAACACAGATGAAACTCTGGAAATAAGAATATTGTTAAAAACGTATTTACTATTTTTTAAATTTGGGTTATTTCTGTTTTATTTATTTTAATTTATTTTACACCTGTGAGACAATTATCAACATTATAACTAATAAAGGCTTGATGCGACTAACTTACGTGTAATGAGTTTGTAGTATATAAGTTTCACATTGTAAGGAAATGGACTTTTGAACAATACTCAAATTGTATGAGTTTTAACTGTAGTAATAATAATATTAATGCACTGGTTTCATATAGCGCTTATTTGAACACGTCACTATTCATTCACTCCATACACATTTGGGGGTAATACTGGACTCAGACCTAAATTTCAATAGCCACATAAAATCAATAACATCAACAGCTTTTTACCATCTGAAGAACATTGCCAAAGTTAGAAATATAGTGTCCAGGGCAGACTTGGAGATTCTTGTCCATGCATTTGTCTCCAGCAGGCTAGACTACTGCAATGGCCTGCTTACAGGTCTGTCCAAACAGACCTGTAAGCAGCTGCAGTACATCCAAAATGCAGCAGCTAGAGTCCTGACAGGAACCAGGAAGTATGACCATATTAGTCCGGTCCTCAGGTCTCTGCACTGGCTTCCTGTGGCTCAAAGAATAGATTTAAAAACGGCTCTGCTTGTGTACAAGTCTCTCCATGGCCTTGCACCAGAATACATTAGTGACATGTTGGTGTCATATGAACCGGCCCGGACTCTGAGGAGCACAGGGACTGGCCTCCTGCTGGTGCCCAGAGTGAGAACCAAACATGGGGAGGCTGCGTTTCAGATCCATGCAGCTAAGATCTGGAACAATCTCCCTGAAAATGTGAGGGAGGCGTCTACTCTGTCAATGTTCAAATCCAGGTTAAAGACTGTTCTGTTTGCCTGTGCATACAACTGAAGGATTTTATCTCCATTTCTAATGCACTGCTGTCATTTTTTTTTTTTTTTAAATTTCTTGTGTAATTTTGAAAGTTTTAATGGTTTTATTCTTTTGTGTGATTTTAATGTTTTAATTGTGTTTTAATCTTTTGTGTGATTTTAATGTTTTAATTGTGATTCTGGTGTTTGTTTTATGTGATGATTTGTGATGTGGACTGTGAAGCGCTTTGTGTTGCCCTGTGTATGAAAGGCGCTCTACAAATAAACTTTGATTGATTGATTGACAGTGACGATAGACTGCTACTGTAGCCGCAGCTGCCCTGGTGCACATTGACAGAAGTGAGGCAACCAGTACGTGCCATCGCCCCCCTTAGACCACCACCAACCCTTCACACACCCCAGATTGATTCATTCGAGACCATGGTGAAGTGTGGCATTGTGGATATTTCTAGAATCACATAAGAATTAAATGAAATTATGTTTAGAATTTTTTTTTAATCTAACAACCGATTGTGAAAGTTAATTACATAGTTAATTACTCTCTTATTACTGTAACACTTTGTAGTAGTATGTTTGCATTTACGTGTTATTATAAGTTTATGTGTGTGTGTGTATGTGTGCATGAGTGTGTGTGCGTGTGTGTGTGAGAGGGGTAGGAGCCAAATATTGCCAAAATTGGCTTTTTCTTCGTCAAACCTCTTTTTAAACTATATATTTCTTTATATTTTGTATCTGGATGAAGTATAAATATATTTGTTATAATAACTTTGGCCCAATCAGTTCATTATGGCCCAAGTAAATTAAGATAACATTAAAAAATTGTGAAAAGAAAAGGGAGCAAAACATATTATGTGGAGGAGTATAAGTGAGTTTTATTTATACAGTTTATACATTTTATTTATATTGTCCCTTACGTTTCCAGGACACCTCAAAGTACTTGGATTACATAACATCACATTGCATTCACGCCAAGACTAGGATCATATTTAAACAAACTTGTACGTCTTACCTCACGTGGGATGAGTATTTCAGAGGGAGATGTCTGAGGCGAGTGGTGGAACTGGGATGAAACAGTAAAGACGGTGTCCCCGGAGTGATGCTGCGTGACAGAAAAGGCACAAATCAATTATCTGCTTGTGGTCGTCTTCTACTCCAGTACATTTCAGGGTAAAAACTATTACATGATGAGGATTTTAAGAATTGAAGTAAAATACAGCACCAACCTTAGAGAGAGGTTCAGTTCTAGCATTGGTATTGTTTTTGTGGAAAAAGTAATTGAACAGAAACTGCTTTCCCATAGTGCCGGCTTTAAACGAACAACTCACAAACCTCCAGTGAACATTGAGCCTTTTTATGAGCCTAGATAACTCAGATTAGAATCCTGCAGGTATCTATGCAGCTGTTGTCATGTCCGTCTGGTGCTGCCCCCTATAGTTTGTTTTGGGTATTACTATCTGGGCTTGGGTCATGGACGAGGGGCAGAAAATGTCTTGAATATATCTCACAGTTCTAACCTTGTAGTTTGTCACATCTGTGCAGTTTTCTTCCCACGGAGTTCCTGAAAGAAAGAAAGAAACATGTAAATCTTTTCCAATTTAAAGATGGGGTGATTTACTTTTTTCTAAAATAATCCCAATAATCCAATCTAAGTAATGACTCAACAAATCAGACCATAACTTGCTGTTTTAATCTGATTAGAAAACATATCTTGCATATTTGTAAAATAGAGCCAAGTGAGTCACTATTTTGAGTCTTTGTCATTTTTCTGTCTAAGAGAAGATAATCTAAAGATGTGGCAGATGCCAATAACACATGCATGAGGAAAGTAGTGATAGAACCATTTATTGTGTAACGTCTTCTGTTAGATGTGGAAAGATGCTTTATACAGTTTGGATGATAATTTATATAATAAAATACTGCCATGTGACCCCCTTTGATTTTACGAAACAGAAAAAGGAGTTGTCAATAATCAATAAATAACAAAACACAATCACTTAGTATTCTTGCACATTAGAACAGGTAATCTTGACACATTCTTGATACATACATTTAGTTACGTCCTATTACTGTAAAAACTATTTTGACTGCAACATAATTTCTGGTCAAAATTATATTGAGAGTTTTAGAATATGAAATTATATCTTCAATAGAAAATATATGGTCATGTATGGAGGGTCAAAAAGGCTGTAACTCCCTATGCTACCACCAGAGGGGATAGAATCTGTTTAGTTTTACTGAATGAAAACATTTCACACGGGGCGACAGTAGCTCAGTTGGTAGAGCATTGGCCTTAAGGCCAGAAGGTCGTGGGTTCAATTCCCACCTCTGCACCTTCCCCACCAACTCCCACTGATGACTGCTGTCGTTGTGTCCTTGGGCAAGACACTTAACCCCACTTTGCCCAAAGCCCCCACTGAAAGATCAAGGCTATGCTCACACTCAGAGAGCAGCCGTCCTCCTGTGGACTCACCACCTGCAGAGGGTCAGTGAGGGGCTGGTGCTATGAGACTTGGGTGGCATCTCTGACTGCCACCCCCCTGACCCAGAAATGGATTAAAGGGTAGAAAATGGATGGATGGATGGAAAACATTTCACCTGAGAAATAGACTTAATTTATGATCAGTTAGTCAAATGATCAATTGGTGCTATTGAAGAAGATGACATGTCTAGGATCGTGTCTTTAATTCAGACAGAAGACATGTTTTATTGTCGATGGTAGAGACAGCACGAACACAGAAAGTGTATTATACAGAGCGGAGGCAAGGAGACCTCCAATCAGCAGCTTCCACGGTGCCATGTAGCTTGGCCTTCAGATAGACAAAACAAGGGAAAAGTACTGGCTTCTGCACATTGATAGAATGATGAGTTTAACTTTAACAAAAGTTGCTTAAAAGTGTTATGAAATCTCACATTCCCCCCTCTGGTCATACATTCACGTGTGACCATCAGGATCGATAAACAGCAACATAACATAACTCAATACTTAAACTCATAAACTCTGTACTTCACTCGGTACTTCAAAAAACTCAGAACTCGGAATACTTCAAAAACTCATAAAACATGTTCAGATCTTTCATAAAACTTGTCAACAATCTTCAGTAAAATACCAAACTTCATCAGTCGATGGTGGTTCCAGATATTGCTTTGAAAACAGTCTCTCCCACTTCTCCGTGTTGGTTTCTTCAGGCTGCATTTGTTGTGTTGAGCCATGAATTCTTCTGTGACGTGTCTTTCAATCACACGTTTCAGCTTCAGTGTCCAGATTCAGAAATCCAATTCAGTCCAAATTATGTCCAAATTCAGATATCCAGATTGTTCCAAATCATGTCCATGCAAAAGAGGACGATGGTATTGTCCATGTCTCAGCAGCTCACAGCCTGACTGGAATCAGGGGCTGTGCAGATTGTCCATGTGCTGATCCAGATGCATGGTTTCTCTTGAGGTTTCTCAGTTTTGGCTTAAAAAAAAAGACATTTTTGTGTAAAAAAAAAGTCTTCTGTTTTCTAGATGTTACAGACAAGGCCCGCATCCTTCCACCACCTGAAGAAGATGACATAGTCTGGGATCGCGTCTTTCATTCAGACAGAAGACATGTTTTATTGTCGATGGTAGAGACAGCACGAACAACACGAACAACAGAATGCAAGTGCATTATACAGAGCGGAGGCAAGGAGACCTCCAATCAGCAGCTTCCACAGTGCCATGTAGCTTGGCCTTCAGATAGACAAAACAAGGGAAAAGTACTGGCTTCTGCACATTGATAGAATGATGAGTTTTACTTTAACAAAATTTGCTTAAAAGTGTTATGAAATCTCACACTATCTCTCAGTGATACAACGACATCATACTATTACAGGACTGAGACAGGAGCTTTTAGACAGAAGGGGCGGAGTTACATTTTGAGCTGCAATCATTTTGACGCAGATCACTACAGTTGCAAGATAATAATAATTACATGCAAACACTACCTTGTAAGTAGTACTGGCGGAGCTTGGGGTTTCGAATGAGGGGCATGTGGTTCAGTGGTCTGGCTGACATGGACCTCTTCTCACTGGGCTGATGCAGAGCTGGGGCCAGGGGCTGGACTTCCCACATTCTTGTCGTAAACTGTGGAGGCTGAGAGACACCTGTGGGAAGCTTGGGCCCCAACCTAAGATCATGCACAAGAAAACATTTTATTTTACCTAGTTTATTTCTAAGCAGGAAATTACAGATACATAATAGTTACACTTGTACATAGACCACAACTAGCCAGCTACCTCAATACAGCTCAATAGGGAAGTGCTCATGGACAAAGTTTTGCTGCTACTCACTCTGGCCTTTATTGAGTTACATTGAAAAGTAAACTTGTGTCACAATAACCCTTTTGGGCTTTGAGCTAAAACGCTCTCTATAATCCTAACGGCGTCATAACAAATGCCCATATGAGGAAATTGGCACCAGCTATCCTATATTCCAAACGTTTTCTTCCACATGTGGCAAACTCTATAGTGACGTCAGCGCTCGGTTAGTCCACTCCTACTATACAGTCTATGCACTTGTAATAGTCCATTAAGTGATCTAGTCATCTACTAATCTGCTTTTTGTCAGCAAGTCACCCAAACTATAGCAAAGTTTCTACATTTTAAACCTTAAATGTATGTCTGGCCTCTGTCACATCTTTGGATCAGCTTTTTCAGTGATAAAGAGAGGACCATATGAAAGTAAGTAAGTACAGACAATATTTATGATAGAAAACAGTTAGGCACTACAGCTTTAACTGAGCATGTGTTTGTGATTATCATGCAGTGAGTGAGATCAAAAGCAATCATGCATGAATTTAATTGAATTAGTCTTTGTGATCTCAGTTATGGTATTTGTGATCTCAGTTATTACCTGATGTAAGAGCTTTTAATTTACATAATGACGATAAACTTCCTCATGCAGCACGTTAAAAAAATGTGTAGAGAAATGCAACACCTGTTCTTGACGTTGCCAAAGTAGCTCGTTCTACTCTGGATCTTTGGTGGTCTGTAATCCATGGCTTTAAAGCATGCGTTTCATTTCAAATGGAGGCATTTTCTGATTTTACTCTTGGCGCTGCAGAGAGGGGGAGAAGATCAGGGGACCAGCTGGCAGCCTTCTTCTTCCTTTTATTTCCCATGTCTGTCGTCTGCTCGAGTTACAGCATCTGCAACACAAGGCAAAGAGTCAGACCTGTTTTGAGTATAGGAGTCAGTGGCATGATAACACAAGGAAGTGAGCAAAGCCTAATAGCCCTTGTAGTGAAAGGGGTCAGGTTTCCAGTGGTCTGTCAATAGATTTGTGACCCACTGCTGAGCAATCACTATCACTGTAGATTGTGATAGTATTAAATCTAGTTAGTCTTGTATAATATCATAAAAATGTGACAGTACAAATGCACATATATGCTACAGTAATGTGTTTTCTAGACTCTATGCTCACCAAATCCTATTAACAGAAGACAAAACAATAACTGTTATTAACGAATGTATTTCCTAATGTTATCATAATCTGTCGTGTGATGAATGATTCAAGAAGCCGACTGACTACGCCCCAGCAAGGGACTAGCTAAGCATCCACAAAAGAATAACACAAAAGAAGAGCAAAGGATTAGGGAGATGGACATGTGGGTGGTACAAACCTACGTGGATGGGTATCTGTGTCAACATCCAGCTGCAGCCTTGAGCAGTCGATGCAGTGTTTTGGCCCCACCACAGCAGATAGCGCCACCACCACCGCCCGCACGTCACGGGAGGATTAGGTCAAGAGAGCTATGGTCACAGAACCAGGAAGCAGGCTGACGAGAAACGATAGCGGAAGTGAGGCGCAACAAACTGTCTGTATACTTTTTATTATCATTTTAATTCATTCACTTTTAGATATTTTTATGGTAACGATACAAAATACCATGATAATTAAAGAATGAAGAATCGATATTAATTCTTAAAAATATAGATATAAATTAACTATAAATGTGAAGGACATACTCAAGTGCTTTTTAGTTTTGGTCCTCCATATTAAGTGTATAGTTGTGCTACTGAAGGCTTGACTAATTATCATTATTATTGTTAAGGTTTACCTTGCTTTTCTTTGTTGACCCGGTAAATTTAGCATTTCTCACACTCAGCCAATCAGATCGTAGGAGCAGGACACCCAGGCTTCCGGCCTAAAGAACGTCAACACAACTCTGAAAGACGAAGAGGAGAATCTACAGTAAACACGTTTTTTTGTCGTTTAACCCACTGCGGCGGTGTCAATATTGAGGTGTGTCTCAAGATGGTTTTGCATTTAAGCAGTGATGTGGAAATGTGTGTTAGCGCCGTTTGTAGGCTGTGGCTGAGGTCATGTAGAGCTGTGTGGCTATTGCTAACATAGCTTTATCCACTTCACCGCCGTTATATTTCACTGACAATGTTTAGAGTATATTATATTGCATAAAATAATTAACATTTTATAAAACGTTGTTGGAAAACTTATAATGCGCGCCTTGAATGTTTTCAGTCTTCAGTTGTTTAGCTACAGAAATAATAGTTATTTCAGATGTGATGAGGCAAAGTTGATTGAGACATGGAGGTTTACTGATGGTGAAAGACCGCAAATTGATCATTGTTTCAAAAATGTACTGGTGCATAGATTGAACATTCATGTTTTGTATTTCAATTCATTATGTCTGTCATTGGTCTTTTTCTATGTGCCTAGGATGTGTGCACAGTTTATGTAGCGAAGGCTACTCAAAACAAGAAAAGAAAATTACACAAGGCAGTAAATGATAAATAATCACATGCAAAATAAAGCGTGAAGATACTCCAGTTCCAGATAACTAGATCCAGTTGCATACACAGCTAAACATAACTGTTTGTAACCTGGATTTGAACATTGTAAAGTAGAAGCCTGTCTCACATTTTCAGGAGCACTTTTCCTATCAATTTTAATGTATTTCTTAATACATTTCATCCTAGGACTTGGCAATAAACCAAAGATGACATCTGCTAACTGAAGTGCCAAGCCTTAGAATTTGTCTGCATCAGCCTTCGGTGTGCACTGTCATTAGAGTGAGAGCGGGCTGATCGAACAACATGGAAACAGACTCCGTAAGTACAGTGTATCAGCTTGTAAATAAATAATACCATGATTGCTGGTAAAATAAATGATTGTGGCCGGACTTGCATGCGAAAGCCAGACCCTGTCAGACTTCAAACTATGTAGGGAAGGGCCTGGTTAGTAATGTGATGGGAGACCTCTGGGAACACCAGGTGCCACAGTGGGGCGGCTGTGGCTGTAAAGTGCCAAATTGTCCTTGTGTCTTAAGGCAAGACACATCACCCACATTGCCTAGAATAAGGCCCTGTCCACACGAAGTCAAGCTCAGGCCTAAACGCAAAAATACTTTATCAATCCAGTGTATCGTCCATACGAGGTCGGCGTTTTGGGGGGGTGTAAACGAACATTTTTGAAACTAGGTCCCAGAGTGGAAAGATTTCAAAACTCCGTATATGCCGCTCCGTGGTTACTGCCTCTCCGCAATGTATCTGAGACGCTTGCGTCATCGCCCCGCCTCTTGTTAAAGCACGCATGCGCCGCACTCAGAAAATAATGACAACAACAATGTAGCTTGTTGGTTTTGTAATCCAGTGCGACCCGAAGCAACAGTTCAACCTCATCGTCCGTCCATACTAATGTAGTACCAGCTCGCCCACTCGCCATGTTGTCTGTTTACAAAATTCCGCGCATGCCCACGGAAGTTTGGGCTTGATCCCGTCATTGCGTCACAGCGCCACCAACAGGTCTGGCATAGTTTCACAGCGTTTTCAGGCGTATTGACTACATTCATATGGACGCACACATTTACTGAGCTAACTCCGTGTTTACAGAAAAAGTTTCTGAAATTATAAGCGTTTTGTCTTCGTGTGGATATAGCCTAAGTCTGGTGTGTGTGAATGGTTGGTGGTGGTCGGAGGTGCTGATGCAGGGCAGCCCTGGCTACATTAGTAGTTTATAACGACCGTGTATGGTGTGAAAGAATAATGACAAGTGAAGCGTCTTTGAGTGTTCTGAAAAGCCTTATATAAAACCAATGCATTATTATTATTATTATTGTTTTTAATATTACTATTATTGATCCCACTCCTTTTCAAACATTTTTCTTTGTACTTGCTCCATATGTTTTTTTATCTTTGCTATAAACCAGAGTGTCAAAACAGTGTCAAATGTTTCTGCAGGATTCCATTCCACACCAGACTTTACCCATTTCTCCAGGTTAAGACTGGACTTGCTTGAGGAAATAGGTGGAATCTGCTGGGTTGAAATGAAAACTTGTAGCCACACCAGCCCTTTCTGCAAACAGTTTGACACCCCTGCTATAGACTTTTAACTCTAGTGATTTATCTAGGCTTGCACATGCATGGTTGATTTTAAATCCAATGTACGTAAATAAGTAATGTTTTTGTCTGTTTTTTCTTCATAGGATGTAATTCCCATCTGGCAAAATAAGCCCCATGGATCAACTCGTAGTGTTGTGAGAAGAATAGGTTCCACGCTTCCTCTCAAACCTCCACAGAGGGCATGTTTTCAGGTATTATAATCTTGGTTCTCGAGAAAATCATGTGACAATCTATTATCTTAAATGATTGATCCTGTTTGATGTGTGCTCTTATTTCTAATTCTATTTCTCCACTGAGGGACGAATAAAAGGTTTATCTTATCTTATCTCATACAGGAACTTCCAGGCCTTCCCTCTCTTCGTCCTTTTGATGGCCCGATGGTTCCAACTTTAGCAGATATAGCTTGGATTGTTGCAGATGAAGAGGAGACGTATGCAAGAGTCAGGTGATTTTAAAAAGAAAAAACGGCAAAGATAAATGTCTGCTATGTGATATAGATGGCAATGATTTTAGTGCAGTTTCTACCTTTTGAAATCTTTGTCACGTTGATCTCTTTTTTTAGGAGTGACGCTCGTCCATTGAAACATGAATGGCGGCCGACTCCTCTTTTAGTCCTCCACAGAAACTCCTCCGTGCCCAACTTCAGGCGTGAAGGCTTGAAAAGAATGGAGGGCCTCAAAAAGCCTGGTGTGACAGCCCTTAACCGCACCACAGCGTTGCAGGATGAGCTCAGCAAGCTGCGGGCACAAATTGCCAAGATTGTGGCCAGTGACTCGGGTAATATTATGATACTAATATGTCCAGTAACAAGGACTGTAGGTAGGAGTTTGTTTTTGCCTGCGCAAACACCTCCGCTACATGAGCTGCTGAAGGTGGTTAGATTTGCTTACTTCACTGCAAGAAGGTCCTGGGTTTGATTCCACCTCCAGGCCTTTCTGTGTGGAGTATGTTCTCCCTTGTCTGTGTAGGTTTCCTCCAGGTGCTCCGGATTAGCCATACCACTAAAAACATGTACAATAGGTTTGGCACGTGACCGGCGACCTTGCTCCCATCTCTGTGTGGAGTGAGAGGCAAATGCCCACAAAAATGGGAAAGTGCTTTGTAGCTCAGGTCTGTGAAAGGTGCTTATAAATGAATATTACTTTCTTACTTGCTGTATGCTCTGATGATCAAACCAGCTAGATTTCTACATATAAAGCACAAACTGGCAACCCAAATGAGCCTACTACTTGTTTACTATCTTCACATCCTAATCCTGAATTCTTTAATCTAATTTCAGACTCTAACCCCATAACACCCGACTTGCTGTCTCCTGATGACACAAGTATGAGTTTCTCCTTGGCTCCGTTTGAGACTTCTTCCTACCAGCCTGCCGCCACAGCTGCTGCCTCTTTTGTTATCAGCGATGTGACCGAAGAGGAGGAGGAAGAGGAGGAAGATGAGAAGGACGTTGTCTCCATGGTGTCGGAACTTGTGCCTGATCCTCTGCCTCCTGTTTCCATGACGGCGTCTGCCACGTTCGACCTGGACCGGCCCAGCATGGACTTCAGGGAGGCCGAGGAGGACACCGTGTCTTTGTCCAAGTCCACCAGCTTCGCAGACGTCATGGACATCCTGAAAGACATGAACCGCATGAAGATGAGCAAGGAGAGGTAAAGCTGTCTATATTGTATGACTTTTATTTTCCTTTTTATTAACTAGTAAGGTACCACAGAGATTGGAGATCGCAGGAGTGGGGATGGGGAGGATGTTATTATGTGGGACTATTACATGTTTTTAGCGGTAGGGGAAACCGGAGCACCCGGAGGAAACCTGTACAGACCCCTCACACAGCACAGTGGTTAGCGCCTGTGCTCAAATCCACCTCCAGGCCTTTCTGTGTTGAGTTTGAGTGTTCTCCCTGGTTCACACACAAAAGGAATGAGTGAGTGAGTGGATGGTGTGGGTTTGGGGATTTGATGTGCCAGAGTGTTCGGTGTCTTGCTTCTGTCATCACTGTGTGTGGAGAGAATGGAAAATGACCAGAACACCAAAATTGCGCTTTGTGTGACCTTTAAACTGCGCTATATAAATAAAGATTACTTATGCCACTGTGCCACCCTTCTCAAGTTTTAGTTGACAACCTTCTTTGTTGTTTCAAATTCATTAAAAAAACATTTCAATTCCTTTGCACTGTGTAATCCCAGGGTTCCCAAATTGTTCAGGCCGGGTCCCGCAAAAATAGGTCGGTGAACCAGCCTCTTTTCGGCAGTTCTACAACGATTCAGGAATTTAACACATTAAAGTCATCGTAGCCTTATTTGACTCCATAATATTATAATTTACTCCATTAGCTTACTTAAGATAAACTCTAAATAGCTTCATGGTTTTCAAAGCAGCTTCAGATCAGATTATTCAGATGAAAAAGTGAAATGGAGTTCACCACATGATCAGCTCTCAGTCCTGGGTCATAATGTGGTAACTTGCATTATAGATGTATGTTTGAATGTATATGTCTATTAAGAAGCCTGCACATCTATTTAAGAAGCCTTCACAGCGACTTATCTGCATATTTTGTGTGCTCTTACTACTGTCCTGTACGTGCGCTGCAACACTGACATTTCCTCACTGTGGAACAAAAAAGGTTCTCTTATCCCTTAATATTGTACTTCACATTTATAAAGCGCTTTTTGTGACACCCAAAGAGGCTTCACATGGCATTATTAATCTCACAACCTCCACTTTGAACATGATTTAACAGCTGTGTGGCTTTGAATAAATCAAATCCAGGACATGGCACCCGATAAAGAACCAATTTGTTTGTCTTTGTTCAGTAAATACAACAGAGGATGCACATCACTCCGAGACGAGGATTCAGCCGCCCTCATTTCAGACGCTCTGAAGAGAAAGTTTGTTTTAAAAGATGAAGACACCGCTGCTGGCAATCAAAAATAGCCCGATCGCGTGAGCTGACGCCTTGATTCGTTTGCTCCATGTAAGTACGAATACGTGTGTGTGTGTGTGTGTTTGCATTGGTTTGTGTGTGCGTGTGTGAGACCATGTGATATGCTGGATTGCTTTTGTATACGTTTTTGTTTCTGAGTGGAGTGGGTGAGGGGAAAAAAAAATCATCCAACCCCTTTTTAATATTCTGGTTTATTCTGTTTTTGTGCTGTAAAGTTTCTTTTTGCTGTAAACATTTAGATTGTTGCCGCTTGCAAGTGATCCCAAAAACTCTGATTTTACGTAATCATCCGACTTCCCAAAATGATAGTATTCATGAGGAGAACTGTAGCTGGATTCTTGGATGCTTTAGAAAGGCACAGAAACCCTCACTATTGTGATATGATAAAAAATGTGCTTATACATGCAAATATACAATCTTATTTTTCTGTAAAGATTTTGGGCCATAAAGTCACAAATTATGATTTTTATTATATTTTTGGATTAAATATGTTTATTTCGCAGTAAAACCATCAGTGTGAAATACAATTCATCCCTGTCTCTTTAAATCTAATCTCAATCTAACAAACTGACAAACTGTCACAGAGACGGGAACTCGGGGACCATTGATAAAGCCAGAGTTAAGATAAAGAGATCCTGAATTTGTCCCACAGTGAGAGAATGTCAGTGTTGCATCACCAGTTACAGGACAGTAGGAAAGAGGAGCACACAGCACAGGATAAGTAAACAATAACTCTTTACTATTGTGGAGAATCAACCACAGACGGTATCGTTACGCACCGACTGCCTGGAAGTTTATTCTGTTTTTTTCAGGTTTATATACTCAATGTTAAGTCACGCATACGTCACACATGGAAAGACATAATTAAATAAAATCTAACTTCAGCATAATAAAGAAACGGGTATTAAATCTCTAACTTCAAACCAAGTTGAATTTCCAACTTTTGTGCAGTTTTTCAAGCGGGAAGTTGTAAAATTCAGATTTTCTTAGCTCTCATGAAAGCCACACGATTGCTACTGTACAATCACCATTTCTACCTTTTTCAGGTCTTTGCTTATGGATTACATGGACAAACCTCCAAGCCAAGAAAAACAAGTCGCTTGAAAAGACTGCTAGGTTCCAGTTGCTAAATGGGAGAGAAGCATAGTTGTATCAAAGGGAGTATTTCTCTTCAGATCTGCCGTGGAACTGAGGGCGACACAGATCACTGCTGTCTCCGGATCTCCTCCTAGACTACAGATACTTTCATTTATACTTGAAGATTTGTAACGAGTGAATAATCTATACAGAGTGCAAATGTACAGTGTGTGTTTTTGCTTGTTCTTCGGCCTCTGTCATGTCTGCCACCCTGTATCACCCAGAGCCTGTACGTGGAATCCTTGCTATTTCTCTTTTTAATACTTTACCACAGTGAGTGCCCTTGATTTGTGTTGTCTCTTTGTCCATTGTCTTTTTAAACTTTTTTTTATTGTCTTTTTTTTTTTGTTGTGCCATTATTTAATGTGATTTCTCCACTTCCATTTCACATATAGTTGTTGTAATTATGAAGGGATCTATTCACATTTCTTCAGTTTCTAGTAAGATCCATTTTGCAGGTTTTTCTATTCGGTTGAAACGTCTTGAGTCCACTGCTTGTTCTGATGATTTGTGAATAAAACATGGGTCGAAGTTTCTTGCTGCATTTGCTTTCACCTCAAGGGGGCGCTGCAGGGCAACTGGTATAGGCCTGTAAAGTTTCGCATTTGACTGGTTTTGCTTCTTAAAGGCGTATAGGTACATATTCGCAAATTTTATGAAAGAACCACCCTCCACTTTTTGAACAAAACTCTGGTCTTATTTGACGAGCACCTTTCACCAGAATGATTAGGAAGACCAACAGTTTTTCTTAATGACCGACTCCTATACCTCAAGTTTTTCAGAAGACAAAAACTGTCATCTTAAAAGACAAACAAATAGTTGTGATTCTGCTGGAACTGCCGGGACTTGGTTCAGAAGGAGAGTAATATTCGGAATATTACATTTGAAGAGTGTACTAACAAAAAAGGATCAAATTTCGATACCATATCAGTGTTTTGTTTTTATTTGTTTGACATCATATCATGGGAGCAATTGATAGGATTTGAATCTGATTGCATTTTGAATATTTTTGAAATGGTTAGGCCTACTAATGAAATAAAAATAAGTTATTTCTCATTGCTATTTCATCATAGCTTGATTTGTCTTCAGAAAATCACAATATCAGCTTCTTCAGACAAAAGAGGGAAGAGTTAACCACATGATCATCTCACCACAAAGGGTCATAATATAAGCGTAAATACAATTAAAAAACAGTTTATTATCTCATTTTTTTCTTTTTTTGCCATGGGCCCCTCCAACCACCACCATGTGTCATGTGGACACAATGACTGTCTGGCACTTTCCTCAATGACACCTTTTGTTCCCCAGTGGTCTCCCATCACAGTCGTAGCCAGGCCCTGTCCAGCTTAGCTTTGGAGGTCAACTGTTCAATTTTTTCTTTCTTCCATAACATAAAGATAAAATAAGTAAGTAATCTTTATTTATAAACCGCCTTTCACAGACCAGAGTCACAAAGCGGTTTACAATTGTTATTTTTTTGGGCATTTGTCTCTCACTCCACAGAGATGGGAGCGAGGTCGCCAGTGCATGAGGCGCATGCCAGACCTATTGTACATATTTTTAGTTAGAATGTGGTCTGCGCCATCCCAATTTTGCTTACCCAAAGGGATAAACTAAATCTATTATTTCTGAAAGAAAAAGTTTAACATATTTAACCTACAGATCTCATGAGGGGAACTAAAAAGTGAAAACATCTCCAGGACAAGCCAGGTTTGTGGAGAGGCAAGCCCACTTTCAGTTACAGTATGTTTTACTACTTTATAATTGCCATAATATTTTAACTCACTTATATTATGCAAGTCTATTCTTTTATACAAGTTTTGTACTGAGACATTAATGATGAAAAGGGCTGTAATTAATGTTTATTTTGATAGTCAATATAGACCCTAAAGCTCTGTGAATATACGATTTCAATACATTTGACCAAAACAAAGCTCAAGTGATGCCCCTGACGATCATCTAAACATAGAGGACCAGTGGCGGCCGGCCAATAGAGGGCGCTAGGGCGCCGCCCCACCACTCACAACTTGCCATGTTACCTTGAATAAAACGTTAAAAAAAATAATAACATTAAAATATTTCGAAATTTATGTGTGTTTTATTTCAGATGTGGAAGAAATACTTTATAGATTATGCTGAGTTGGATTGATTAAGCTCATCAGCGTTGTCTGTGTCAGACTGAGGACGTATTTCCGCCTCAGGGCGCAAAAGATTGCGCCCTGAGGCGTCTATGGACCATGGATGTATTATATTAACTGGATAGGGTATTACTAGCTTGTAGCTGAATAACTCACGTGCTCAGGGGATTCTCGCGGTACTGCAGACTGAACCAGACTAAATTCACGTGGGCTACCCAGAAATTTTCCCCATAGAACTCAATGCATATTAAAACAGCTCAACCTCAGCTGACAGAGAACCTACAGCTTTCATAAAGATAGTATTTTGTGGGGATTTTAGTGTCCCTTGTCATCCTGAACTTTTTTTCTTCTTAAATCTTTCGGTTTTGTTTAAATCCACACTTTAGTGCCACAAACTCTGCTCCTCTGGCTCTCGCTCTAACTCCCGCTCTGATGAACTGCTCTGATTGGTCAGAGCGCGGCCGAGCCCCTCTGTGCACGTGCGTGAGACCCGGTGTGAGACCCACACACGCGTGTTTGGCGCAACGCATTATGGGAGATCATCCACTGCGCAGAACCGGGAGGACCAGACGATGCCCAAATACAGGCGAGTTTCCCATAGATCTTTGCGAGTTTCAGGCAACTTCCGCTAATCTTTCAGCCCCCATGCTGTCACAAAGCGCCACTGAGCACAACCATTCATTTGAATAGGGCGCCATCTTGGATCGCCGGGGCTTGCTATGGACTCTCGTTAAAAGTTGTACATGCGCAGTAGCTCCTCTTCAATGCAAGAGATAAGACGATTTGGGGGCGCAGGAGAAGTGCGCCCTGAGGGGGCGGGATCGCCCGCGACCTGTACTGTCACTGTCTGTGACGTCCGTTTACAGTGATTGACAGGTCAAGCTGTGGGAGTTTGAGACGAACGTAAAGAGACGCAAAATGGAAAACGAGAAAAAGAATAATTCAGTTAGATCACTCAAAACAATACCGTTTGAGAGAAGATCATACCAGGAGAAGGTTGAGGTTAAAGAGCTTGGACCTGATCAGCCAAATATTACCATTAGTCAGCAGTCCAGGACCTGGTTCAGCGCCAAATCTTGGCTAGCAGCATGTAGCGAGGCTAATGCTTTATTTTGCTTTCCATGCCTCTTGTTTCAAACATCAGGATCTGACCCAGCATGGATCAAGACAGGTATGACTGATCTGAAGCACTTTTTAGAAAAGGCAAAGAAGCATGAGCAGACTGGTATCCACATGCAAAATGCCCTCAAATTAGCTATGTTTGGGAAGATAAATATTTCATTCTCGTGTGAGGCTTCAGTCACAACAGTCAGTGTAAACTTACTTACTGCTGGTATATATCTAGTCATCATATTCATAGCCCCCCCAGTAGAAAATTCCACCAGCCGCCACTGTAGAGGACCAGTTAAACATTACAGCTGAAACTCTGACAGGTGAAAAAGTACATTTATTTACAATGTGAAACTAATATATGACAGACACACTATGCTAAGTGAGATATTACAATAATTCCGTTTTTATGTTGATAGTTATTGAAGGCTCACATTCTGAAAAAACCCATAAGATAATTTTGAATCCATCATCACCATTATAACAAACAAAAGCTTGGCATCTGTCACTGCATGGAATAAATCTAGTTCTTTGTATGTCATTCTGCAGTCATTAGAATATTATCTGAGTCATAACCTATTCTCGGCTTTTCCATACGGGGTTAA